TAGGTATGATTTTTACTAGTCAGCAGCATTTCAAATACATTTAAATCTGGCGTGTGGAAAATCAGAAATGTCAACATTTTTGTCTCTCACTGAAGCATGAAGCAGAGCCTGTGCTATCGTTCGGATATAATAAGGATCCTGTGTACTTGTCTTTTGGACAAATTCTGCTTTATGGTGAAATCAGCTTTTGTACATTACTGGTGTTAAATTGACAATTTGTCAATGATTATCAAAAGCCTTTAAAATGAGCATACTCTTAAATTCAGAAATTAAACTCAGAAATTCTAACTTCTGAAAAGTTTTAAGTAAATAATTGAACAAGTGATTAAAGTGAGTCTATAACAATGTCCTTGTTGCATTGTTTATAAGAAGATATAAAGTTGAAAACACTTAAATGTGCCTCAGTAGAAAATTAAATCATAGTAGATCCATGTAATTATTATGTGTGTGTATACCCAAGTGGAATACTGTGTTGCAATTGAATTTATATTTTCCTAATGTTAAAGATAGTCATAAGCAAGGTAAATTGAAGAAATGGTTTATGACATTTCTTATATGATATGTATGACATCCTATTTTATTAAAAAGGAAAACATCTGTGCATGCACAGGAAAATGGTAGGATACTTCACATATTCATCATGTTCGAATCTGGGTGGTAGGATCGTAGGGAGTGGGTTTTACTTTCTCTTTCATACATTTGAATTATCTGGTTTTAAAAAAATAATATGTGAGAGTTCCTTTTCAAATCCAAAAGAATGAACAATTGAGGGTTTGTTTTTTTCAATTTTGGAAGAAAAAATAATAAACCTGTGGAGTTAGTAGGATGGAAAAGTTACCATGAAAGAGGCCCAAAAGCTAAGAAATGACTGTTTGCTTTGCATGCTGAAGGCTAAGGTAGGGAGCCTCACAGCTGAAGAATTTCCATTCCTATCAAGTCACTTGGCATGTATACAATTTTACCTATAGAGCCAACTGATATATTCTTGAACCAGCAACTGGACTTGTTATGATTGAAAATGCCATGAAACCATTTTAGTTCATTTTTGTTCTTAACTTTGTAAACAATTTTAATCTGTTTTTTAAATTATGGTCATAAAAAGATCCTTAGAAATTTTGCCCTGTGTTATGGTTAGGCTTCGTGTCCCCACCCAAATCTCATCTTGAATTGTAATCCCCATAATTTCCATGTGTCAAGGGAGAGACCAGGTGGAGGTAATTCAATCATGGGTGCAGTTTCCCCCATGCTATTTCATGATAGCAAGTTCTCACAAGATCTGATAGTTTTATAAGGGCTCTTCCTCCTTTGCTTGGCGCTTCTCCTGCCATCTAGTAAAGAAGGTGTCTACTTCCCTTTTGCTTTCTGCCATGATTGTAAGTTTCCTGAGCCCTCCCCAGCCATGCTGAACTATGAGTCAAATCTCTTCCCTTTGTAAGTTCCCCAGTCTTGGGCAGTTCTTTATAGCCGTGTGAAAAGGGGCTAATAGACTCTAGTAGCTGTGTACACTAGAAAAGGGGCTCCCAATGGAGAGCCTATAAACTTTAGGCTGTACCAAGCAAGAAGAGCTAGAAGAGACAGTGGAGATGATCGGTTGTTCAGGTTACTCCTCTACTGAGAAATCAAAGATGAAGAGAGATGACATGTGATACAGCGTATGTAGCAAATCTAGTTCATGTCAGAGCAAACAGCCAGCAATATCCAGCCATGATGCCCAGTGGGTAGGTGAAAGGAGAAAGATGGTAACTCATCAAAATAGTGGGAACTTAAGGGCTCATGGTTATATTCCATTAAGGGCTTAGAGGAGTTTTGTTTTCAGTATAGGTGTATTAGTTTGCTCTCACACTGCTATAAAGAACTACCCAAGACTGGGTATATTTATAAAGAAAAGAGGTTTAATTGACTCAGTTTCCACATGGCTGGGGAGGCCTCAGGAAACTTAACAATCATGGAGGAAGGGAAAGCAGGCACTGTCTTTACAAGGCAGCAGAAGAGAGAAGAGTGAGGGAAGGAGGAACTTGCCAAATACTTATAAAACCATCAGATCTCATGAGAACTCACTATCACGACCACAGTGTGAGGGAACCATCCCCATGATCCAATCAGCTCCCACCACATTCCTCTCTCAACACCTGACACCTGGGGATTACAATGCAAGATGGGATTTGGGTTTGGACACAAAGCCCAACTGTATCAATAGGGATGTCCTATATGGAATTTTATGCTTCTTGCTTGTCTTGGAAGAAGGCCCCAGGTAACAGGCATGACCTCATGGCTGATCCAGAGATGTAGAAAAGCAAATTGAGACTTTCTGTTTGATTAGTTTGGGAAGCAGTTATTAAGGATTCTCCCTGTTGTGGTTAAAGCTGTCTCCCAAGAAAGAAGCCAAAGGAATATTAAGCCAAGAATCTGAAGGGTGAAGCCAAACCACTGGGAAGGGCTTTCTACTGCAAACTACAATGTGGTTGAATTAGAAAGGAACATTCAAATCATGTCATGTTGTCACCTCAAATTCAACACGTCTAAAATTGAACTCATCTTTCCTCACAAAGCAGCTCCTTAACTGAACTTTCCTAATGACAGGAAGATACTGCAGTGTGGAATGCTTTGTCATGACATACCTATTATTTCATTTGATTGTCACACACAAGAAAATTATTTCATTTAGATTAATCAAAGGGCTGTAAATTAGTGAGAGACCAGTTCTAAAACCCAAGTTTTCTGAAGCATAATCTAGTCATCCATTATCAACTATATCCCACTGCCCCCCCCCCATATTTGTAGAATAAACTAGCCCATTTTATAGAATTAGTAAGTAACACTTTATTTGTATTGGCTTTTGAGGATTGCACACGAGCAGATTTTTGTAAATATGAAGTCAGATTTTTTCAGTTAGCAAAGATGAAACCAGCCTTTGGAATTGTTAAACCTGTTTTTTGTGAGATAGTGAAAAACATTCATAACATTCTTATTATTGAAGTCCAAACATGACACAGATGAAAAAAAGTACTGAGTCTAAGCCTAATAATGCCTAATTTATAACTCTAACATGAGCAAACCATCCTCAGTTATATTAGGTTCATGTATGGTATAAGTGGTATAGTTCTGTTTTATTTTAATTTGCAAATTATTTTGGCTTTGCAATGATACAAGAATCATAAACATGTTCTAGAGAAGTGCCATACAACAGTGCGCCTCTAGTTAATACTGTATTGTATACTTTAAAATATGCCACAGGGTGGGTTTCATGTTAAGTGTTCTTACCACAATTTTAAAAAGAATTATTAGTATGAAATGTTTACATATCTGGATTTCTATTTTGTAGCTATGTCAGTAACATTGTAACAAAAACACTGCAGCTCTCTTAATACAAAAAGCAGCTTGCTACACAATGCAGCCCCATACCCACACTCAACCCACTGACCCTTCAAGCTAGCACCCATGCTTTCTTGGCACTCTGTATCTCGTCAGACATGTGTCAAAATAGCTATTTCCTCTTGAGTATGAGCTTCTGCAGTTCCCCAGCCCTAATTCTTTATTTGGAAATAAATCTTAAGAGAAACATATCTAGCATAGTGATATTGATTTGTAATCTCCTCAAATAGGCATTCACTTTAGATGACTACAAAAGCTAAATAGAGTTCAAGAGCTCAAGACTAGCCTAAGCAACATAGTGAAACCCTGTATCTTAAAAAAAAGTACAAAAGTTAGCTGGGTGTGGTGGTGTGTGCACCTGTAGTGCCAGCTACTCAGGAGGCTGAAGTGGGAGAATTGCTTGAGCCTAGGAGGTCAAGGCTGCGTGAGCTGTGATCACACCACTGCACTCTGGCCTGGGTGACAAAGCGAGACTGTCTCAAAAAAAGTGCTAAATAATGTATACACATGTGAAGTCCTCTGTGTCTCCTGTCTGCCTCAGCCCATAGACATCTATCTAAATAAACAGCTGTGGGCCATTGTGTTGTGCCCAGCATGTGGGTGGTATGATACTAAAGCATGTTTTAGAGCAGAAGATGGGAGCTTTAAAGGGAGCTGCCACCCCTTCAAAATGCACTGACTCCAAAGCATCCTACCCGTTGTCAGTAACACCTTCTCTCTCCAGTGAAAAGGAACTAGGTAGAAAAACAAAATCCAAGCAAAGAAGATATTCTAGTCCCAATTTTAATAATAGTTATTTAATATACTATTTAATAATTAGTATAATATTTACTGTAATTAGGGCTTATTAACACCAAAGTCCTGGTTTGGTAGTGTAACTTGATTCTTTTCTGATCTTCATGACAGTGTCTAAACAAGTAACTCATGCAACATGCTAGATCTTTTTAAGTAAGCATTTTGATTATTTTTGGTTCAATCCTTTGGGTCTCTTCTAAATCTTACATACTGATAATCAGCTTTGTAAAGAAATGATAACCTAAGGCCAGGTGCAGAGGCTTACACCTGTAATCCCAGCATTTTGGGAGGCCGAGGGGGGTGGATCATGAGGTCAGAAGTTCAAGACCAGCCTGGCCAGCATGGGGAAACCCCCATCTCTACGAAAAACACAAAAATTAGCTGGGCATGGTGGCGTGCGCCTGTAATCCCAGCTACTTGGGAGGCTGAGGTAGGAGAATCGTTTGACCCTGGGAGGAGTAGGTTGCAGTGAGCCAAGATCACTACCCTCCAACCTGGGTAACAGAGCAAGACTCCATCTCCAAAAAGAAAATAAATGCTAACCCACAATTTCCAAAGGCAACTTGCTTTTGTAACTTGCATTTTGTGTAGAATGTTTTAGTTGTTATTTGGTCATTGCAAATTGTCTTCTGTAGCTATTGGATTAATGCTTTTCAAATAGTTAAAAGTCTGAAAACTAGTTCACTAGGTCTCTAAACAGACCATCCTCTTAGAATAATGTGATTCATTAAGCAGTCAAATTCAGAAAAGGGCTCAGGACTGTTCCTGCCAAGAAGTTGGTGAAGACGTTTGGCAGGTGGCATACTGAGAGGTTTGTCTTTGTAATGTTGCAGAATCGCCTACCAGAGGAACGACGATGATGAAGAGGAGGCCGCCCGGGAACGGCGCCGTCGAGCCCGACAGGAACGGCTGCGGCAGAAGCAGGAGGAAGAATCCTTGGGACAGGTGACCGACCAGGTGGAGGTGAATGCCCAGAACAGGTACTGTCCTCTTTGTGATACGGAATTTCTAACTTGTGTCTTAGCCTGTCTGTTGAATGTAATTTGTCAAGCAAAGCATTCCTTTCTCAGCCCAACTCAACCCTTTTGGGTCAATCTAACTTGTTTAATTATTTTGCGGTGTTTTAGGCAACGAATCTGATTGGATAGGCAATCTGGTTTAGACATTAGGACATACTATTCTGTCTCTCTCCACCCCATTCCCATCTCATAAACATACCCCAGTTGAAGGCTTTTATTTCATTTTACAATCTAGTATTTGTTTAATTTAATAAATATGGTGGACTATATCTTTACATATATGTATGTTTAATTTTTTGTAATTTCAATAGTTTTGGGGGAACAGGTGGAGTTTTGGTTACATAGGTAAGTTGTTTAATAGTGATTTCTGATATTTTAGTGCACTCATCACCCAAGCAGTGTACACCATCCCCACTGTGTAGTATTTTATCCCTCACGCCCCTCCTGCCTTTCTCCCTGAGTCCCCAGAGTCCATTTTATTGTTTTTATACCTTTGCATCCCCATAACTTAGCTCCTATTTATAAGTGAGAACATAGGATGTTTGGTTTTGGTTTTCCATTCCTGAGTTACTTCACCTAAATAATGGTCTCCAACTCTATCCAGGTTTCTGTGAATTCCATTATTCTGTTCCTTTTTATGGCTGAATAGTATTTCATGTTGTGTGTGTGTGTGTGTGTATATATACATACATTATATATATACATACACACAACATGGAATAGAGATATAGAGACAGATATAAATCACATTTTCTTTACCCCCTTGTTGGTTGATGGGCATTTAGGTTGCTTCCATATTTTTGCAACTGCAAATTGTGCTTCTATAAACGTGTGTGCAAGTATCTTTTTCATATAACGACTTCTTTTCCTCTGGGTAGATACCTAGTAGTGGGATTGCTGAATCAAATGTAAGTTGTACTTTTAGTTCTTTAAGGAATCTACATTGTTTTCTGGCAGGTAATATCTTTAAATAAGAAGTATTTACATTTATTCTATAGGATATTGCTATCTGTTTTGAACTGAAGATGTGTTAGTTTAATAGAGACCTCCATGCCTACCATTAACAGATATCATATGAATTTTTTTAAGTGGGCATGAATTGTAGATGTCTTCTTTTTTCTTTTTCTTTTTTTTTTTTAATTTTTTATTGCATTTTAGGTTTTGGGGTACATGAGCAGAACATGCAAGACAGTTGCGTAGGTACACACATGGCAGTGTGTTTTGCTTCCTTTCTCCCCTTCACCCACATTTGGCATTTCTCCCCAGGCTATCCCTCCCCACCTCCCCCTCCCACTGGCCCTCCCTGTCTTCTTTTTTCTAATATGCAACCCGAATCAATAGTCTCTGATCACCATAATATTCAACAAGATACAAAATTCTGCTTAATTTAATGTGATGATTCAAACACACTTAATGAGTTTACTATTACATTTTTTTTCTCACTCAGGCCCTGGTAGAAATCAGGGATGTTGAGAATGACTAAATAGGTTTGACTTCTTTAAAAACGGCTTTTGCAGCAGAAATAAGGTCACACAGTTCATTATGCTAATGGTTAGTATATGCCATTTATATTGTCATTTATATGCCCCAAGGTCTAAAAAAGATGAGGATATTTGAGGAGGAAAATGCAGAAAATAATTTCAATTCGAAACCATGGACTGATTATAATGGATACACTATATGAGATCTCACATGTGGTTTTGGTTTTAGATTGTTTTATTTTGTTTAATTCAGTCTATTTAGAAAATGCTGAAGGGAATGGGGCCTGACCTCCTTAACCCGAGTATGAGAGGCTGTATTAGAGGGTTTCTGAAAGCAGTCTTGAAAATGTTGGCAGGCAGCACAGATATTGGTGACCTTTTCCCTTGGTAAGTAGCTCTAACTGGGGAGTAAGTAGAGCAAAGGGGAAATAGGTATGATCTCTAGGGTTCACTAACTGACTTTGACTCCAGCTTGACCTTTCACTAACTGATGTCTTCACTTAAATGGAAATAAAAATTATACCTTTCTCCTAAAAATTCTGCTAAACTTAAACTACGTACCAATGCATGTAAAATGCGGAGTGTCTTACACATAGTAAGCACTCAATAAATTTTCACTGTTACCAGATGCTTAACACTGGGGGGCAACATAGTTATTCCCTGCCTTTTCTATTTTCAAGCTGAGACAGAAAGAATATAAAGAGTTTTAAAAATGGCATTTTGATGCCTTTCCTGAATCTTGTTATTAATGAGTGGTCAACAGGGGCTTAGAAAGTTACTGGTGGTCTGTAGTTTTCTTGCTTTTAAATTCTTGCTTCTCCTTGTCCTTCTCTTCTCATATTTGGCTATTATTCATGATTTCATGGTATTGATTGAATTTAAATTCTTCTTTTTTTTTTAGAAAAGCATATTGAGGTCTGAGAATATGTGATTTATCTCTGACATATTAGCCACAAGAAAAATAATTAGTCTTGGAGCCAAATACCTCTTAACTGGCACTCGGTATTTACTGATGATTATTGTCATGATTTATCAATAGGCAAAGAAATGTTCAATACAGTTTGTTGGGGTTTTTTTTTTTAGCATAAGAATACTTTAGGCCAGCGCGGTGGCTCATGCCTGTAATCCCTGCACTTTGGGAGGCCGAGGCAGGTGGGTCACGAGGTCAAGAGATTGAGACCATCCTGGTCAACCTGGTGAAACCCCGTCTCTACTAAAAATACAAAAAATTAGCTGGGCATGGTGGTGCACACCTGTAATCCCAGCTACTTGGGAGACTGAGGCAGGAGAATTGCCTGAACCCAGGAGGTGGAGGTTGCGGTGAGCCGAGATCGCGCCATGGCACTCCACCCTGGGTAACAAGAGCAAAACTCCGCCTCAAAAAAAAAAAAAAAAAAAAAAAAAAAAAAAAACTTTAATCTGGCTAGCACTTTGGAATTTTGGTGCCTTTTAAAAATTATTAGAAATTAGTTGATCCAAATGCCCTCTCTATAGATTTCTCCTTAAATTGTAAATTTTTGCATTTGGAGCGACATTTAATCCTTACATGTCTAATTCGTGGAGGCAGTATCCTGTAGCAAAAGTAAAAGCCAAGGAAATTTTAAAGCTGGTTTTTACTCTGACATTTTTTGTTGTTAAATATGAAATGTGTTTTTCCAAAATTAAGTGAACTTGAACTTCAAAAGGGCCAAGTTTGGTCTGAACTATGAAATTTGATGGAGTTTCTAAACACTGCAAGACAAATTCTTCCAACTCTGGCCACAGTTCTGGTATCACATGACTGGGTGTTTCCTACAAGTAGGAACCAACACCCCCAACTTGGACAGTGTCCAGCATCCTGCAGCAGCGAGGGAGGTGATGGACAACAGTTTCATTTTTAGAGACTTTTCTTTTTAAAATAAATGTCAAATGTAACTGCCCTTTGTCCACTGTAGAAAAGATGGACAAGAAACCCTTTATTCATGGAAATCTTGACAAAGAAGGTAGATTGTGTAAACATTCGTTGGGGTAATGCTGGCTGCTATAAAGATTAGTGCCCCCAATTTTTAAGTTTAGTGCAGTAACACTTACCATTATGCATATTTCTGTCTAGTAGGTAGAACCAGCCACCTGTCTTCTTTTGTCTTGTGACTCTCAAAACCTAGGGCTTGGCTCTTACTGATCTACCAGCAGACAGAGAGAAGACAGAGAATGCACCTCTGTTTGTTCATTGCCTTGGCTGGACATTTCTGTTTACATTTCATTGGAAGTTACTGGTCGCATGGCCCCACCTAGGTACAAAGAAAGGGGAAGGTGGAAATTTAATTCTTGAGTGGTAATCACTAGCCCCCTGACTGTGGGAGGAGGAGCAGGAATTGTAAGGGACACTTAGATGTCTCTTCCCTTGGGGTCATTGGCATGAGTGTGGAATCTCAACACTGTAATGTACATTTTCTTCCTCTCAAAGTGCCTCGGGACCCTCCAATCCAGATCAGGAATTCTAGATGACTGGGTGACATGTGAGAATACTACCTGACACCAAACGAATTCACACTTATTATTTCAGTTTGGTCCTTAAGTTTAAATTCCCCAAGAAGCAGTCCAGAAACAAAGATCTGACCCCTGGTAGTTTATTTGTATGGCGATCCTAGGAAACACTGGCGGGGGCATGGGAAGGTGAGACAGAAAAGGCAGGTCTACCAAATAAAGTTTGCATTACCAAGCACATCACCACTGTGGGTGTCCGGAGCTTCGCTCCCCTGGGAAACTCTGAGATCCAGTGTGGAACACACACCTCGGAATTATCCAACTCAAAAAGTGAGGGGTGCTGAGGTATCTAAACACTAGGGCTTGTCCATTTTTGTTTGAAAGCTGCTTCCAGGGGACATTTCATACCCAAAGCACTTCTGGCATGTTGAGTAGACTCCAGTGCCCAGAGAAAGGCTAGCACATGATGTCAGCTGAAAGCCAGGCAGGCATGTAGTAAAATGGTAATGGGCTGGGGATATGGACGAGCTTGGCACCTACTGTAGTCCTGGGTGGCACAGGCTGTATGAATGCTGCTGACTGATGAATGAGCGAGCTGTCTTTGGTGTTGTTCTTTCTGTTGTACAGTGTGCCCAACGAGGAGGCCAAGACAGCGACCACAAACACTCAAGTGGAAGGGGATGATGAGGCCGCATTCCTGGAGCGCCTGGCTCGGCGAGAGGAAAGACGCCAAAAACGCCTTCAGGAGGCTCTGGAGCGGCAGAAGGAGTTTGACCCAACAATAACAGATGCAAGTCTGTCACTCCCAAGCAGAAGAATGCAAAATGACACAGCAGAAAATGAAACTGCAGAGAAGGAAGAAAAAAGTGAAAGTCGCCAAGAAAGATACGAGATAGAGGAAACAGAAACAATCACGAAGTCCTACCAGAAGAATGATTGGAGGAATGCTGATGAAAACAAGAAAGACGCCAAGGAAAAGGAGGAGGAGGAGGAAGAGAAATCAAAGCGAGGGAGCATTGGAGAAAATCAGGTAGAGGGGATGGTAGAAGAGAAAACAACCGCCAGCCAGGAGGAAACGGTGGGAATGTCATTAAAAAATGGGCAGATCAGTTCAGAAGAGCCTCAGCCAGAGGAGGAGAGGGAACAAGGTTCAGATGAGATTCCCCATCATGAAAAGATGGAAGAGGAAGACAAGGAAAGAGCTGAGGCAGAGAGGGTAAGGTTGGAAGCAGAAGAAAGAGAAAGAATTAAAGCTGAACAAGACAAAAAGATTGCAGATGAACGAGCAAGAATTGAAGCAGAAGAAAAAGCAGCTGCCCAAGAAAGAGAAAGGAGAGAAGAGGAGAGGGAAAGGATGAGGGAGGAAGAGAAAAGGGCAGCAGAGGAGAGGGAAAGGATGAGGGAGGAAGAGAAAAGGGCAGCAGAGGAGAGGCAGAGGGTGAAGGAGGAAGAGAAGAGGGCAGCAGAGGAGAGGCAGAGGGTGAAGGAGGAAGAGAAAAGGGCAGCAGAGGAGAGGCAGAGGGTGAAGGAGGAAGAGAAAAGGGCAGCAGAGGAGAGGCAGAGGGCCAAGGCAGAGGAGGAAGAGAAAGCTAAGACAGAAGAGCAGAAATGTAACAAGCAGCTAGAAGAGAAAAAAAATGCCACACAAGAGACAAAGATAAAAGGGGAAAAGGTAAAAGTGAAAATAGAAGGGAAATGGGTAAATGAAAAGAAAGTGCAAGAAGATAAACTTCAGACAGCTGTCCCAAAGAAACAGGTACAGTAAACATTTTGCACCATATGTGTGATGCCTGTGACTTGTGAGAAATGTAATGCACATCCAATTTGGGACTGAGGCCACATGCATATAGTTCACGTGCTTGATCATTTGGCAAGCTGTTCATTTTTTTCAGGCCATAGCAATACGCAAGCATGCAGCAATTGATTGATGGCTGAATAGTCAATCAACCAAATTTACTGGGATAGCCAGTAAATTTGGCTGTCTAAAAGACAGAGAGAAATTAATTGCTCTGTGCTTGATTGTTATGAATACCAAAAAAAAAAAAAAGAAATTTAAACATGGTGGTGCTGTGTTGGTTTCTGATTCTGCACCTGCATCTGAACTCATTCTTTCAAATATCTTTCCTCTATCCATAGGTCTGCATGAGGCAAGAGGCCCGTAACTCCTTACCTCACTCATGGGTTTGACATTGAATAAAAAAATAATGATAAAAGCTGGGGTGGGAAATAGACATGAAGGATAATGGTCAGACATTTCATCTTAAGAAGGCAAAACAAACCCCTGAAAATTAACTGGTAATAAAGAAGGGAAAGGAAGTGGTTGGAACCTCTCCTTAAAAAAAAAAGTCAAAACCCCGATTTGCCAACATGTAGACCTCAGCTTAATGTAGACTTGCAGAAAGCCATTAATTTAGGGTAGTATCAATTTATAACTGACTGGTAATTAAGAGCATACATATTGTTCTTTATTACCTGGGTGACATAAATCCACGTGGCTTGAGGAAGGGTGGAAATGCGGGGGGGAAATGTTTGTAAGCTTTGAGAAAGATGTTTTTTTCAGTCTGCAAGGCTGCATTAGAAGCACTGTACCTAATAAACATCACACCACCACCATCCCTAAAAAAAAAGAAAAAAAGATGCTTGCACATTCACCTTTCCAGAGCAAATTCTCTGTCACTAAGTCTGCAATGCACTGAAATTGTCTTTAACTCCTGCTTCTATACAAGAGGCTCGTGAACACAGCTATAGTTGAGATCATGAGCAGTGTGCACCAACCCCACACATGAGGTTTGCAAACACACACAAGGACTGCCACACTATGCTAGATTTCAGTGAGCACAATGGCAGGCACACAAGATGTTGGGGTGGGAAGAAAATATCCCACTTTGCTGTTTAGAACCACTGTGCTGTGAGCGCTGAGACAGCAGAAAAGAAGCCATCCCTCAGCACTTGCAAGGCCATCCGAGCACCCACTCACTCTTGTCAGTTAGAAAGGTTTTCTTTTATTCGTGTGACCTTACCATTCTTGAAAATAAAAAGGGAGAAGAAAAGGGAGCTAAAAGAGAAAAGCTTCAAGAAGACAAGCCTACCTTCAAAAAAGAAGAGGTAAATATGATTGAGAAGTAATTATCCTAAAGCAACAGAAAAAGCAGTCAGTGTTCCATGACATCTCAGGTCTGACAGTCTCAAAATTGTAACCTCTTACCCAGTGTATTTCAAGCCATGACTCACAAGCCATTGAATAGTGAGATCCAGTTAGAATGTCTCAAAATTAAGTAAATGTATCAGTCAGCGTTTTTTTTTTTAAAATGAAATGGACAGAAGTCATCAGAGGGCATTGTAGTTAGTAAGTATTGCATTATCATGTAAATTCTCTTTCTGTGGGACGCCATCAGAAAGGCTTGAAAAAGACTGCTGGAATCAATTTATCCTGCTTTCTGTTCTTCTGAATGCTAATTTTTTTTTCCTTGAGCCATTCTACTTTCATTTCAATCATGAAATATTTCCAACTGGCCTTGATTAATGCTTTAACTTTTCAAAGGAAAAACACCCACACACATCTCAGTAGAAAAATTGGTGAACTGAAGGTGATATTTGGTTTTCAAAAGGGAAGTTTGGCCAAATGTTCTGCATTGCATTTCTGAGGCACACACGGGAGCAGGTGCCAGGGTGTTTGACTGTAGGTAAGTGAACAAGGAGCTATGCAGATAGAATGGCACGGGGTGACAGTAATCAGAATGCCACATCAGAACACCTGATTGCATGTCGACTCTCATGCTGTGTTTGCCCCAAATAATCTTAATATTTTTGACTATACTGAATAAATCACAATACTTACTAGAACTTGGTGAAATTGAATTATCAGAAGTAGGAAGACCCGAAGTTCTTCGCCTCTGAGACTGGTGAAGTGATTTGTATCCAGAAAGCTCCAACCCCACATAGGCTGTTGGTACATTTCTCTGCCTATCATGGCATCTATTAAGAAAACTCAAATTTTTTTTTTTTTTTTTTTTTTTTTTTTGAGACAGAGTCTTGCTCTGTTGCTAGGCTGGAGTACAGTGGCGCAATCTCAGCTCACTGCAACCTTTGCTTCCCAGGTTCAAGTGATTCTCCTGCCTCAGCCTCCCCAAGTAGCTGGGACTACAGGCATGCACCACACCCAGCTAATTTTTGTATTTTTTAGTAGAGATGGGGTTTCACCATGTTGGCCAGGATGGTCTTGATCTCTTGACCTTGTGACCTGCCTGCCTCAGCCTCCCAAAGTGCTGGGATTACAGGCATGAGCCACCATGTCCGGCCAGAAAACTCAAAATCTTAAACAGAGAAATCCATATTTAGAAAACAGATGACCAGATTAAATAGGGGGTAGGTTATTTTCTTAACTATGTTTTGTAAATTTCACATGAAAAATGAAAACCCGTAGTTCATGTTATATACTACATTTCTGTTAAGATGTATGTTCCTCCCTGTTTCTAATAGAAGTTGTGGTGGTTTGGAAGGGAAAATTGAATATGAGCACAGACCATGTAAAGGAAGGAGAAAGTGTAAATGCTAATAACAGGAAAACTGAATTTAGCTCTCATGGGGCATTCAAGGAAATCATTGAACATGCTGGGAAACACTTTTCACTTTGTGAACAAATACCTACAAATTCATTTACAAAAAAGAGAAATGAAAAAGTTACCTTGGAACTAAACTCAAACTGAAATGTGTCCCACATGGGTTCTTGCAGTGTTTCTTAGTGAATGTCTTTATAGAAAGTGGGCAGCCGGGTATGGTGGCGCGTGCCTGTAATCCCAGCTACTCGGGAGGCTGAGGCAGGAGAATTGCCTGAACCCGGGAGGCGGAGGTTGCGGTGAGCTGAGATCGCGCCATTGCACTCCAGCCTGGGTAACAAGAGTGAAACTCCGTCTCAAAAAAAAAAAAGAAAGTGGGCATGATTCAGTAATTAAACATGTGGGGGGAGGGAAGCTGTAGAAAACACTGGATTCTATATTTACAATTTCATTCAATTCACTAAAATGGGATTTGTTTGTACTGACCAAAGCTTTCTATACCTATGTATAGTGTCTGAGAATTAGAAGGGCCCATCAGTTGCCACTCGGATGATCCTTTTGCCTCTTTTCAGATAAGGCCCTAGTTCTACAGCATCCTTGGTGTCCATCAGATACTCTCAGGAATGATTGAGCCCTGCCCCTTTGCCCTTCACATTCCAGCCAGTTCCAAAACCTTTGACCTGTTTTTGACACAAGGCCAGATAAGCCACTCAAACCAAGGTTAAAAGAAAAGAAAACAACCCAAATCGAGATTCCTATTTTAACATCGTGTAAATAATCTACTGGTCGAAAGACTAGGTTTTCCCCTTTCCAGCTAGTCGTACTGTTTCTTTATGGAGTCAGCCTAAATCACGTTTACATGATTCAGCCATTTTAAATAACCTCTTCCTTTATTGTTTTCCTTTTTGTTCAAAAAAGAAAGAGAACAACTAACTAAAACCTTTCCTGTCAAGGATTTATGCAGCACAGGATAGGGCAACACAAGTAAACAAAAATATCACATGAGCCTTCTTGGAGAAAACATTTCCAGAAATCAGTCCAGTGTCTTAAAAAACACACACACAAAATAAAACCTGTCTTTCTCCACGGCAGTTTAACTGTGACAGTGAGTCACCGATGATCACCAACATTGAAACTTAATTTAGCTTTCTTTCTTTCCTCTCCAGTTATAATAAGTCTCTTTTTAGTTCTTTTTAACAGAAAAACAGAGTTTCTAGCAGAGCTGCTTCTGAGGTATTGAGAGTGATGTTCATGTCATGCGGACCAACCCTTCCCAGACATTAGTGTGCATGCAAATCACCTGGGAGTCTTGTGAAATGCAGAATCTGATTCCACGAGGTCCATGGACCAAACTTTCAGTAGCAGGGAGTCTAGAAGACGTCCATGTTATAGAAATTGAACCCTGGGTTGGATCTGGGGCTTATGAAGCTAACAAAAGCACATTAAACTCAGCATGAGAAACCCTAGCTGCACCCAGCGCTTGTTGCTATTCTGGAACCAAATAATGCGAAATGTGCCTGAGACACATCTCAGTCCTTGCTCGCTTGACTTTCTGAGTGTCTCTCTGGCACAAGGACCTGTCATTTGAATTCCCATCCCCCACCCCATTCCCATGTGTTATTGTACTGGATATCCCAAGTATCTAGAGTTTCAAAACCCAAATGATCACATTTGACCAGAGCCTTTCTTATGAGTATGCTAATGTTATCTGTGTATCAAGCACACAGACTCTTTCAGGATACCTGGCTCCCTGTGAATCAGCACAGACATTCTCCAAGGTATCATTCTAACCTGTAAGTTCTAATGCCTTTCCCAGGGGGCTCAGAATCCCATAAGTTAAGGTTAAATCTGCTATAACATCCAAAAATAAATGTAAAGGCTCTATGGAATTACTTTATTCATTTCCCAGAAAGAGAAAATAATTTTCAGTTGAACTTAAATCATCATTATTACATTGACGATATTTCTCAGAAGGTTTTCCGGAAAGAACATAAGCCTACCATCCACTGTAGCCTTTGCCAATAAAGGTAATTTTTCGTCTGTTAGGCATATTCTATTTTACAAATGTATTTTAAACACCTTGGGGACCAGTAAATCAGATATAATAAATTTGGGGAGAATGGAAATTTTTCTGACTGCAAAATAGGAGAAATGAGCTAAAGGGAGTATCTCCAAACATAGCACTCCACAGACCGTGAGATCCTGCTCAGAATTTGTTTCACGGTTCTCTCTAAAATAGGTTTCCCTCACATTTGTAGCCACAGATACTTCTTAACCAGAACATCAACTCGAGTCCACGGTTTCTGGGGCTAAGTCTAACAGTGTAGGCCAAAATGGGAATTTATTTTGTTTCATTCTTCCTGTCTAATGAATACTGATGTATTTATTCTTGAGCAAGGACAGCCATCAGGGAGCCACAGTGAGGCTGTCATTCAGGCTATGAGCTTGCTCCTTTTCTCTGTAGCCTCTCATGACCCATGAGGAGCCAAGAGGGAAATGACAGGATGAAACATTAAGAAGGAATCATCTGGTCCAATCACATCTTTTCACATATGTGGGACCAGCATCCCAGAGCAGTCAGGTGATTTGGCCAAGTAACACAACTAGTTTATCAGCACTGGAGCCAGAAGTCACATTTCCTGATTTGCAGACAAAGCTCTTGGAGGGAATGGCAAGGCATAGCCCTCCTTTTCAGTGTGTCTGAGGGACATCCTAGGTAAATACCCCACAGTGAAAAATTGAAGTCTTAACTAATTAGGGCAGCACAGTAGGAATTTCTAGTAATTAATCAGCTAATACCCAAAGAAGACAAAGGACTTAAAACTCATCAATAAAGACCAAAACCTGTGCTCTTTGTAAAACATGCACTTTAGGTCAAGCGCAGTGGCTCACGCCTGTAATCATAGCACTTTGGGGGGCCAAGGCTGGCAGATCACTTGAGGTCAGGAGTTCGAGACCAGCTTGGCCAACATGGTGAAACCTGGTCTCTACTAAAAATACAAAAATTAGCTGGGGGTGGTGGTGCATTCCTGTAATCCCAGCTGTTCTGGAGGCTGAGGCAGGAGAATTGCTTGAACCCAGGAGGCAGAAGTTGCAGTGAGCCAAGATCGTAACATTGCACTCCAGCCTGGGCAACAGAGCAAGACTCTGTCTCAAAAAAAAAAAATAAATAAATAATGTACTTTAGGAGTAAATCGTCAGAGGATATCTGAAGAATAAGTGGGAAGAAGTGAGTGATCAGGTCATGGTAGAATGTCCCAGGCAGCAGCCTAAACTCTAAAGTCCTGAGTCCTGAGTCTTTACGGCTTTCCCTTCCTCTGTGGGTTTCTTTAGAATGCTCATGCTTTGTAACTGTCTTGAAAAGAACCATTGTGAATGCACCTCATCTGTTTTCACACTCATCTTTTAAGAATGGATGAGATAATATGATTGAAGTATTTTGAACTCCTTTACCCCCCGCACAAAAAGCTATGTAAATTCAGTTTACTTTTAAATAATCTCTCTTTAACTGTAAGAAACACAAATCCACAAAATGTGAAAGCTAACACCTGCCCACCGTATATCATCTTCCCGTGTCTCCCACAACAGTCATAAAACTACTTCCAGAGTACTGAATTTTTACTGACAATGGAAATCAAGGGAAACCCTGGAATTTCTCCTATTCCATTCTAACGTTAATGGTTTAGATGACTACCAACATGGCCTCACAGATCCTAAATATGCCGTTGACTCCTCCTCCTAAGGGTAGGGTTAGTAAGTGTCCCATCCTTGGGACTGAATTTACTTGTTGATTAAAATACTGGTCTTTGCCAGAAATGGCTTGGCAGATCTAGCTAAACTGGTAGGTTTCCTCTCCTTTCTTTTACATTTGTGTCTTTCTCACAGATTCTCTCTCCATCCAAGAAGAAACCTGTCCAGGAAACCTGGCCCTTCTCCATCAAAGCCACCCTACTAACTGCTCTTCCCAGTGGGAACTGCAAACATCTACTCTTACACGAATTTCCCAGAACGTAATGGTTTCCAAACAATAGTACTACCACCGCTCTTGAAAGTAAAAACCTCAGTAAGATCAGGAATGATCTTGCCTTCTTAAAATTGTGCTAAAGGTGTTCACAGGCTAAAGGACCATAGCTCATTCTCTCAGATTTTCCCCTGATTCCAACGCTACCACATCTGAGTGGTTTCTTTCTGAGTTTTCTGCCTTCCTAACAAGTTTGGGTCTTATTTGTTGATACCAGTCAAAATCCTAATAAGGTTTTCTTGTTCTGTTCCTTCCTGATATGTACTGTTGGTTAGATCAAAGATGAAAAGATTAAAAAGGACAAAGAACCCAAAGAAGAAGTTAAGAGCTTCATGGATCGGAAGAAAGGATTTACAGAAGTCAAGTCACAGAATGGAGAATTCATGACCCACAAACTTAAACATACAGAGAATACTTTCAGGTAAGAAGTAGCAGCTAGTTAATAGTAACTGTTCATATGCCAAAAAAAAGTCTTCTCATCCTGTGCCTCCAGACAGAAACTTGCTAAACAGGCAGCATGCTTTTGTTGTGAGGTCATTCGCCATTGTCTCAGATGCGCAGTCAGCAAGTCCGGTTCTCCTATCACCAACAGAAGACCTGCAGTCACCACTCAGACAGGGCTTAATCTGCTTTTCCCATTCTTTTGAAAGGCAGATCATGTGTGGCATCCATGGTTTTTTTCACTGACCTCATGTGAGAAGAGTGTATTAGAAAACATTATGACTGGGATTCATATCGTTCAATGATTCTCTCTATGGTCTGACCACCTTCACAAGAGACCCTTCTCAGTACCATTTTCAAGAATGCATTTTCTAAAGGTTGTTTATAAATACTGCATAAGACTAAGATTGTTTAGTGGCCAAATACTTGGGAAACATTAGTTAAAGCTCAATTAATCAGACTTCTTTTCTTTTCTTTTTTTTTTGTTGAGACGGAGTCTCGCTCTTGTTACCCAGGCTGGAGTGCAATGGCGCGATCTCGGCTCACCGCAACCTCCGCCTCCTGGGTTCAGGCAATTCTCCTGCCTCAGCCTCCCGAGTAGCTGGGATTACAGGCACGCGCCACCGTGCCCAGCTAATTTTTTGTATCTTTAGTAGAGACGGGGTCTCACCATGTTGACCAGGATGGCCTCGATCTCTTGAACTCATGATCCACCCGCCTCGGCCTCCCAAAGTGCTGGGATTACAGGCATGAGCCACCGCGCCTGGCCTAATTAATCAGATTTCTTTGCCACAGGTCTTTGAGAGTCTCTTAAGAGGGAGTGAGAGGGTATGGACCTGCTGCTCTATTTCATACAGTTTGGAAAAACTCTCTTGTATAGCTTGAGCTTTCCCTTCAACATAATCCCCTACCCCATCAAATTGAAAATCTCGGCAACTGATTATCAGACACACTAGACAAGTATGTCCAGGTAAATTCTCATTTCTAAATACTGTCCAATTCTCAGAGCTCCCTACCAATTTTGTAGAAGAACCTGAGGTGCAGACACTGAGCTGGCCACATGATTCCTGTGCTCCTTTCCCACAAAACACTCCCTCCAACTACTGGGTCCAAATTCCAACCTCTGTTACTTGTCACTGGCTGCTGTGCCAGATGTGCCGAAGAAGAGTCTTGGGTCCCTGCCATGTGGATTTCCCTGGGCTTGTGCCTTGGCTGCAGCCTTGCCTATAGATCCTATTTTTCTGAACACTTCAAATAAGAAAGTCACCAAGTAGGTATGAGGGAGAAGTTTGACATGCTCCTTACACCAAAGCCTTTGTAATATTCGAAAGCAGGCGGAGCTGCTAGGGATGGACATTTCAGGCTCATCAAGAGGCTTAGATGGATAAATACAGTTGCCCCCAAACATTTTTCTATACAAAAGTTTGAACAGAAACCTACTCATATTTATCCAAAGGAGAACCTAAAGCAGAGAGAAGGTGTACATAAAAGGTCTAAATAAAATGGTCAAGGTGTAAGAAAGGTAGAATCTATAGATACTACTTGGGATTGTCAAGAGAGAACAATGTTAAAATTAAGTTTATTGAACATTCACAGAAAACCTACAAAGCAAGTGATTCAGGCTAGTAAGCTGAGTCTAAAACTTGCCGAAGTGCCTGAAGTTTAATGTTTTAAAGCTCTGGAATAGTGCCGGGCCCATGAAAAGTGTTCAATGAATGTTACCTAATATTACTATTTTTAAATTAATAGTTTAAAATATGCCTTATAGGCATAAGGGTTTTTTAAGGTATAAGTTCTGTTTTTGTTAAGAGGAATGTTTAAAAAATCTGTCAGTAGAAAAAATTCTGTTTAACAATTAGCAAGCTTGCCAACAAGCTCAGTCAAAGCTAAATTAATAATTAACATGCCTATTGTGTAGAAATCCAAAGAGCTGGGTAATTTGAAGGGAGAAATAGTCACAAGAGGTGGTGACAAGTTGAATGCTAAGAATCCTTAAATGTGACTCTGGCCTTAATTTTTCTATTTTGGGCAGGAAAAAAAATACAGGAACAAGCTGCTAGCATATTATTTATTTTTGTTTAGCCACCAACGTATGTGAGTTTTAGTTTCAAGTTCATGCTGATAGAAGCAGAGGTATAATTCTGCTCCAAACACATATAAAATGAGGAGAGAGGAAGACAGTATCAGCCTTTATTTAGATAAGTTTAGTACCTATCAGCTTAACTGAGAACAAGCTGTATTCTTTTTGTTTTTTGAGACGGAGTCTCGCTCTTGTTACCCAGGCTGGAGTGCAATGGCGCGATCTCGGCTCACCGCAACCTCCGCCTCCTGGGTTCAGGCAATTCTCCCGCCTCCGCCTCCTGAGTAGCTGGGATTACAGGCACGTGCCACCATGCCCAGCTAATTTTTTGTATTTTCAGTAGAGACAGGGTTTCACCATGTTGACCAGGATGGTCTTGATCTCTTGACCTCATGATCCACCCGCCTCGGCCTCCCAAAGTGCTGGGATTACAGGCTTGAGCCACCGCGCCCGGCCCACAAGCTGTATTCTTAATGGTCAAAGACTGTATACTCATCTTGACTTACATGTAAAGAAGCCAAGGGGTGGGGGAAAGAACTTAATGGAAGAAATTTCCACGTTAAGTGGCACCCTAAAGCTGAGGTCATGCACATAGGCAGAGATGGTGTGAACAAAAGTTTTGCTCCTCTATTGAGCATAGCTGTTTATCTTTGATTTAATTACTGTTCCCTCTAATGTTTGCATTTTCTTGTAACTCACTTGTTCTCTCCAAAACATGACATAAAAATCTCCATTCAATGAGCAAGATATAGCAATGCAAATTCTACCAACGGTTTTATAGAAAGTGCAAAATGAAGGGCTTTTTGATGTTTTATTTTTAAGGTGGGAATTAAAAGTTTTTTTTTTCCAGTTACAGAAAAAAATGTAATCATTATAAAAATGCTCAGAAAATAGAATAAAAATAAATACCCACAACCCAATGATAACCACCAGTAACACTTTTTCCAGCTGTTTATCTATGTATATAATATTCAGGATAGACACACACGTGAGTATACTTATAATTTTACATTGATTCTTGCATCATGCATAAGAATGTATTATAGCTTGTTTTCTATACCAGTAGATATAAGCCTATAATTAATGACATTAGAGCCTTCCACTGGAAGGATGTATTATGACTTATTTAGCCAGTCCCTGATGACAAACATTTTGATTGTCCAAAATGAAGACTGAGCGACATCTAGTGGAATCCACAGATGTTTCCGTAGGCATGTGTTTTGCTGGTCTAGTTCCTGCAGTGATAAGACGAACACAGAGAGAGCAAACTTATTTTTGAAAGGAAAGACCCTAACTTAACTGAGAGAAGAGTCACAGGCCTGTGAAGTCAGAAGATTCTGAAAGAGCCTTTGATGACAAGATTCTGAGGGATACTTTAACCCTGAGTTCGAAATAAAAGTTTACTTTTAACTGTCAAGATCCTAGACCAATAGTTTTAAATTTTTTAACCTAAACCCTTAGTAAGAAATAAGTTTTACATCATGACCCAGTACAAGCCTGTATATATTTTTATAACTGAAACAAGTGTGTCAAGAAATGGAACTTTCTTCTGCTCTATGCAATGCACTCTGATACGTTCTGTTTTGTTTAAATGTTGGTTACAATCTACTAAATGGATTTTCTGGTCAGTAGCTTAAAAATTATTGTCCTGGAGGTCACAGTATATTTAGAATGACTTCAGTGTTTAAAATCAATGTGCACAATGTATTTCTTGAACCCATTCCTTGTTTTACTTTTATTTTATTTTATTTATTTATTTATTATTTTTTTTGAGGCAGAGTCTCCCTCTCATGCCCAGTCTGGAGTACAGTGACCCAATCTCAGCTCACGGCAACCTCCACCTTCCAGGTTCAAGTGATTCCCCTGCCTCAGCCTCCTAAGTAGCAGAGATTACTGGCGCACGCCACCATACCCAGCTAATTTTTGTATTTTTAGTATAGACAGGATTTCACCGTATTAGTCAATCTGGTCTTGAACTCTTGACCTTTTGATCCATCCTCCTTGGCCTCCCAAAGCACCGGGATTACAGGTGTGAGCTACCGTGCCTGGCCATTGTTTTATTCGTTCTTTGGTTCCACAGCTAGCAACACTGTGCCATTCTTTACATGTGGTAAATGGTATTAGGGTGTGGTAATTCCTTTGTTCCCTAGACAAAGTGTCAGGAATAGGACACCTACATTCTCATCTAGTTAAGAATGACCTCACTACTTGCTAATAAGTTTTTAAATGGCAAAGCTGTATCTCTGTCTCTTAAAGACTACTTATAACGAGGGCCTTCAAGCACTAAATTCTCCTGAGTAAAGTCCCAGGCAAATTCTGTGTTAGTGAAAACACTGTATGCTACTGAAGTTCTACTGTGAGTATTGACAGTTTTAAAATGATCAGTGTTCTAATTCTACCATATAGCAAATTTATTAAAGAAACTTAGGGGTCACAGTAGGGGTTAATGTCTCCATCTTTTTATAGATGTGTAAAATACTAAAAACACCTGTTCTGAAATAAAATTTTAACATAAGGACTTTTGGGATAGCATTCTGTCTTAAGTCTTAACATGTTCCCAATTCTGCAATGAAATCCCTGTGTATCCTCCTTAATCGCAAAAGAAAACTCAATATAATTTTAATTTTAGTTCTTATGTAAAAAGAACTATTTTTTACATATTCTTACCCATTTTCTTCCTGTTTTATAAGCTATTCTATCTGAGGAAGCATTGCTTCTGCTCAGGCACAGAATGTAGCCAGGCCTAGACTACAGAAATTCTAGAGACAGAGGTAGGAAATGTTCCTCTCAGACTCCATCCTGAAGGTTTGAGGTGAGAAGTGGAGAGATGGGCTAATGTGTTCTCTTTCAGTTTATTCATTGCTTCATAACAATACATATTTTATTTCAGGTATAATTATAGTGACAAGAAGAGTACAACTAATACATAAGCGTTAGAATCTGATTCTGGCTCAGCTGCTTTCTAGCTACCAAAAGCTTGAGTAAATTATTCTCTCACCTGTGTTACCTTATTTGTAAGATGGGGATGATCAACCAAACCTGACATCTCCCTAGTTATTGTGACTGTTAAATGAAGTAGTGGATATGAAAAGGGTTTAGAAAGCATAAAGAATGACATGTAAGTAATCACCTTAACCGTGTCATACCAAACTAATTTCACAATTTTAAGTCTGTATAAGGAACAGTCCGGTTGTGTTGGAGTTAAAGAACATAGAAAATACACAGATGGAAGCCACAGGTTAATGCAGTCATTAAGGACTTCCTGGAGCGTCTCTGTAAGAATGGACATAAATCACTGTGTTTAGCTCTAATCAAGGGGCAATAGGTAATTTCATCTACCAGAGATCCGCTGCTAGAGTCAAGCTCGAGGCAAAGTTGTGGATAGATGGATTTCCTTCAGTGCCTACCCTTAGTTCAGCCACTTTCTCCCGTTCGCAGTGCCTGAACCTTTCTGTCTTCCCTCCTGATCCACTACTCCAGGTAGATCCAAGTTATCCAGTAACTTATGGGAAAGGACTAGTAAGGCACTACGAGACTTTTGAACTCATTCACAAGTAATGTTTGGGACTCCATGCCTTCCCTTCCAATAACAACTACTATTCATACAGTAGATGATACATAAATTATATCAGTATGATATCTCTCATATTGATACAATACACAGTCCCATGCAACCCACTGAGGTAAATAGAATAAATAGTATTTGCCCCATTTTTCCATGTTGAAGCATGTATCTTTTTAAAAATTGTGGTAAAATCAAACATAACCTCAAATTTATCATCTTAAGCATTTTAAAATTTACAGTTAAGTAGTGTGAGGCATATTCACATAGTTCTGCAACATATCTCCAAACGCTTTTCATTTTGCAAGACTGAAAGGCTACACCCATTACACAACAATTCTCTATTTCCTTCTACCACCCACCCTCTGTCTCTGGTGACTACAGTTCAAGTTCTGTCTCTATGAATTTGACTACTTTAGATCCCTCATAGAAGTAGAATCATATACTATTTGTATAATTTCTGTGACTGGCTTATTTCACTTAGCACAGTATCTTCAAAGTTTATCCATGCTGTACCAGGTAACAAGATGATCTCCTTCCTTTTTAAAGCTGAATAATATTTCATGGTATGGCTAGACCATGCTTTTTTTTTTTTTTTTTTTGAGACAGAGTGTCATTCTGTCACTCAGGCTAGAGTGCAGTGGTGCCATCTCGGCTCACTGCAACCTCCACCTGCCAAGTTCAAGCAGTTCTCTGCCTCAGCCTCCCGAGTAGCTGAGATGACAGGCGTCTGCCATCATGCCCGGCTAATTTTTGTATTTTTAGTAGAGACGGGGTTTCGCCATCTTGGCCAGGCTGGTCTTGAACTCCTGACCTTGTGATCCACCCACCTCAGCCTCCCAAAGTGCTAGGATTACAGGCGTGAGCGACCACGCTCAGCCCCACTTTTTATTTATCCATTCCTGCCATGATGGGCTTGCGTCCATCTCTTGGTCATTGTAAATAATGCTGCTGTGAACATGGGTATACAAATACCTCTGCAACTGCTTTCCATTCTTTTAGAGGTATATCAGAAGCGGGACTGCTGGATCATGAGGTAGTTCTCTTGTTGAGTTTTTGAGGAACCTCCATCCTGTTTCCATAGCAGCTGCACCACTTTACAGCCCCAATTTGCAGTACATATTTGTGACATTTTACAGCTGAGGAAACGAAGCGCAAGTGGCAGAACTGAGGCTCCCATTCGGCCCCTGTGATTCCAGGCAGACCCCTTTCCCAACCTACTACCCCTTGGGCTAATGAGAGGCAGTGGGGATTTGGTGTGGGATGCAGAAGCCACAGAATGACCTCGCCTTCCTCCAGGGAGACTGCAGGCAAAGGCATGTAAACCCCTTTCCATTGCCCCCCCAACCACAGCCGCCCTGGAGGGAAGGCCAGCGTGGACACCAAGGAGGCTGAAGGCGCCCCCCAGGTCGAAGCCGGCAAGCGGCTGGAGGAGCTTCGTCGTCGTCGCGGGGAGACTGAGAGCGAAGAGTTTGAGAAGCTCAAACAGAAGCAGCAGGAGGCGGCTTTGGAGCTGGAGGAGCTCAAGAAAAAGAGGGAGGAGAGAAGGAAGGTTCTGGAGGAGGAAGAACAGAGGAGGAAGCAGGAGGAGGCCGATCGAAAACTCAGAGAGGAGGTAAGGCAGGCACTAGCCCACTGCAAACGTGGCCGGGGAAAATTCCCTAGTGCCCTGCGGCTGCTCTTTTGAGCATGGGCTCTTAATATTTTTTCAGAATAATAAACTTACCATGTGCTAGGTACGATTCTAAAACTTGTAGACATGTTAATTTGTCCACTGCTTCTAAGAACTCGCTGATATGGGTACTTATCCCCATTTTACAGATGAGAAAACTCAGGCACAGAGAGGGTTTTTTGGTTGTTTTTTTGTAATTTTCCTGAGGTCTCCCTTGTGTTAACCCATTACCCTATACTGCCTCTCAAAAAGGAAAAGTTAGAAAGCTGAGAAGGATGAAAGGTCTGCAAATTAGTTACAAGAATGAAGTTATGTGATACTTGTTTTCTAATAGCTGGAGACGTTTTATAGAGAATATTAAAAAAAATTTTTTTAATGGGCAAGTAAGTAGATTAGAATGTGAACAGGCAGGGACAGTGTCTGTGTTGTTCATTACTCTATACCCGGGACCTCATACAGCGCCTGCCATGCAGGAGGAACCCCATCACTATAAATAGATGAGTTTGTTTCATCTTTTAAGACAGAGCCAAAAACAGCAGATAAAGTTACAAGGAGGAACGTTTTGGCTCAGCATATGAAATAAGGTTTAACGAACTACAACTTACAGTACTGCAGTTTACAAAGTGCAGTCTTTCCTTTCATCCTGAGGTACATTCTTCTCATTTTATGGGCAAAGAAACTGGGAATCAAATAGTTTGAGTGACTTATTTCAAGATTCTTGACTAATAAGTGGTAGAATCAGTATGGAGACCCCGCTTTTCCAACTTGGAGTCTAGAGCTTTTGAGATCGTGATCTCCCATCATTCAAAATATGGGGGAAAAAAAAAGACTTTCAATGGCATTTTGACATGGATCCTACGCAAAATTTTCCTGAACTGTATGGAAAATTTTGATACATTATTTCAAGGTCTCTGTTAACTCCAGCTTTCAATGAGCCAATGACCTTTAGTTGGGAGTCATCAGAACGATAGGGTTTTAGAATTAAACAAACCCAGGCTTCTCGGTGTTTTGTTTGTTTGTTGTTTTGCTTTTGTTTTTAGACAGAGTCTTGCTCAGTTGCCCAGGCTGGAGTGCAATGGCAAGTTCTCGGCTCACTGCAACCTCCACCTCCCTGGTTCAAGCGATCCTCCTGCCTCAGCCTCCTGAGTAGCTGGGACTACAGGCATGCACCAACACACCCACTTAATTTTTATATTTTTAGTAGAGACATGTTTCATCATGTTGGCCAGGAGGGTCTCAATCTCCTGACCTCGGGATCCACCTACCTTGGCCTCCCAAAGTGCTGGGATTACAGGTGTGAGCCACTGCACCTGGGCATTTTTTTGTTTTAAGACAGAGTCCCACTCTGTCGCCCAGACTGGAGTGCAGTGGCGCCATCTCAGAACATACCCAGGCTTCTGTCCTAACTCTGCCACTGACAAGCTGAGGCCTTGGGAAACCTGAACTGTTCTGCATCTTCTTCTCCTTACCTGTGAAATAATATCAACTTTGCAGGATTCTTCTGATACTTTAATAGATCATTGTGCTCCCAGTGCCTGGCACATTCTAGGCACTCAAAAATTGGTAGATATCATTATTGCCATCACTGTTATTATGATTATTATTCGGAGGAGGAAAGCATCAGGAAAGGCTGAAGGGAAATCATGAAGTCTTAGAACTGGATTGGACCTAGGCGATTATTTGGGCCAACCTGCCAAACACAGGATTCTTCTACAATATCCTCTGACACAGATGAACGTCTGCTCTCTGCTTGAGAACATGCAGTGATAATGATCTCGCAGTTTAAGAACTCCCTGAGACTGCATAAATCTCTCGGAAAATCAAGTCGTGCAACTGAATCAGAGCTCTGAATTTTTTGCCTGATAGAGAAGACAGGGTATTCCTGACTAGGAATGAAGACACAGAGGGGTTAATGAGATAGACTGTAAACATTTGCGATTGCAACGCCATGACGCAAGGTCTATAGCGTTTCGGGTTTGTCAAACTATCTAAAATTATTTATTCACTTGAAGCAGGGAGCAACCATAAAAATCACATCTTGTACCATCTGGCAAATACAGTACCACAGATAGATAGCTGTTCACATAAGTTATTCATTTGTCTTCACAGCTCTCCCAGGATGTAGGTAAAAGGGATATTCATATTAATTTTACATACTCAGAAGTGTGAGGTCATTGTTAATGACCCACAGGACGGTGGTGATTAGGTATCACCCTATGAGAAATCACCATAATGAGTGTTAGTCTAAGCCAGGGGTGTCCAATCTTTTGGCTTTTCTGGGTCACATTGGAAGAAGAATTGCCTTGGGCCACACATAACATACGCTAACACTAATGATCACTGATGAGCTAAAAAAAAATCACGAAAAGTCTCCTAAAGTTTTAAGAAAGTTTACGAATTTGTGTTAGGCCACGTTCAAAGCCATCCTAGGCATCATGTGTCCCCTAGGCCATGAGTTGAACAAGCCTAATCTAAGCATTTTACATGTGCTTTCTCATTGAGTCCTCATGAAAGCCCTATAAAATGAGTGCTCTCATTATCCCCGTTTTATGGATGAAGAAACTGAGCCACCGAGCAGATAAATAATATGGCCAAGGTCAGGCAGTTGGAAAGTAGCAGCACCAGAATGCAAATGCAGGCAGCTGGACTCCAGCTCTCAGGCTCAACCTCTGGGGACCACCTAGAAGGAGAGTGTCCGGTCTGCGGCTTGAGTCTCCTGCCTCTCCGACTGTGCTCTCTCTCCTACAGTGCTCTTCCCTTTGGCTGTGAAGCTGATATTGATGCCTCGTTATTTGTTCTTTCTCTCTTAGGAAGAGAAGAGAAGGCTAAAGGAAGAGATTGAAAGGCGAAGAGCAGAAGCTGCTGAGAAACGCCAGAAGATGCCAGAAGATGGCTTGTCAGATGACAAGAAACCATTCAAGTGTTTCACTCCTAAAGGTTCATCTCTCAAGGTATTTTTTTCCCAGAAAAATCTTCTTATAATACCTTTATTAGAATATAATAGAAACTGGATTTTAGCCCCTTGTTTAGTTATTGATTATTTGGGGCCTTTGTTTCATTTATCTTTTTGCTATCCTTCCATGTTAATCTGTTCAGGCTGCTCTAACAAAATACCTTAGACTGGGGCCAGATGTGGTGGCTCACGCCTGTAATCCCAGCACTTTGGGAGGCCAAGGCGGGCAGATCACTGGAGGTCAGGAGTTCTAGATCAGCCTGGCCAACATGGTGAAACCCCATCGCTACCAAAGATACAAAAATTAGCCTGGCCTGGTGGCACGCACCTAGAATAATTCCAGCTACTTGGGAGGCTGAGGCAGGAGAATTGCTTGAACCCAGGAGGTGGAGGTTGCAGTGAGCCAAGATCATGCCACTGCACTCTATCCTGGGCAACAGAGCAAGACTCTCTCAAAATGTATTGCTCACAGTTCTGGAGGCTGGGAAGTCAAAGATCAAGGTGCCAGCAGAAGTGGTTTCTGGGAGGGCCTATTCCTCATAGATGGCGCCTTTTCCCTGTGTCCTCACAAGGTGGAAGGGGAAAGGGAGAAAACGGACTCCCTTAGGCCTCTTTTACAAGGGCACTGGTCCCACAAGGGCCCCACCCTTCTTACCTAATCACCATCCCAAGGTCTCACCTCTTAATACCAACACGTCAAGGATTCAGTTTCAACATTTAAATTTTGGGCCATAGCACCTCCTTTCAGCTGTTTAACAGCTTCTCATTGTTTACAACATACGGAAAGGAGAGACGGCAGTGAAATTTTTATCTATTGTTTATTAGATGCTTTGGCATACATTAAAGTGGCATTTGGTGATTATCTCTGAATTTCACTGATCCACATTCCCCATGTGCCTCATTCCTTTGAACAATTGAGAATAGAACCATTTAAAGCTTATAAAATGGGAACACATATTTTAAAAGTTTAAGCTGCTTTTCATGCTAGCTGTTCATTTGTTTCTCTGTCATGATTAAAAGCCAGCTGGAAATGGTGCCGGTGCAAATTTTAAAGCAATTATGATGGCAGTAGGTGAAAAGTGACTTGCAGAGGGTCCTTTTCTGGGATGGCTTTGGTTCTATGACAGCCTTCATGGAGCACAACTCCTAACGGATGTAAAACAGAGCGCTGCCAAGAGAACAGAGAAGGAGCAGGAATTAGCTGAGTCAGGGAGATGATAGAATGAATAGCTGAGATGTAGGAAAAACACAGTGGACTCAAGAAAGTACCATCCTTGATTTATAATCAGTCCACCATTATTGCCAGTGGCCGTTTCTTTGAGGATTAACATCATTGAGCATCTAGCACAGTGCCTTATATCATATTGAAGATACTTAATAAATATTTGTTACATGATGACTGAATGAATGAATCTTCAGCGATTGCAACTTTTAACATTTCATTTTCCATCAACTTAGCTAGGTTCTAAAGCATCAACAATGAGCAAAGCCAGGACAGAATCATACCCAGGTTTGACCAGGCACAGTGGCTCACGCCTGTAATCCCAGCACTTTGGGAGGCTGAGGTGGGTGGATCACCTGAGGTCAGGAGTTCAAGACCATCCTGGCCAACATGGTGAAATTGCATCCCTACTAAAAATACAAAAATTAGCCAGGTGTGGTGGTGCACAGCTGTAATCCCAGCTACTTGGGAGGCTGAGGCGGGAGAATCATGTGAACCTAGGAGGCAGAGGTTGCAGCGAGCTCAGACTGTGTCACGGCACTCTAGCCTGGACAACAGAGTGAGACCCTGTCTCTAAAAAAAAAAAAAAAATCAGAATTTTTAAATCCCCAGATGGCTTCCCTTAATCTTTATGATGATCTGGGTCTCAGTCATATCTCTGATACCTCCCAAATAAATTATTTGTACTCAAACCCTTGTCTCAAGGTCTGCTTCAGGGAAGATTCAGACTAAGCCACAGAGGGATTAGACATTTAATATTTGATCAGTTATGAAATACTTAATGCGTGCTATGTCCTATGCGGGAAAGAACAAAGCAAGGTGGCTGTCCTGATGGCACTAATGACTGCCTCAAAGAAACAATTCAAGAATTACAAAGGTGACCAAATGCTGGTCTCAGAGCAGAGTCAAAGGAGGAGAAAGGCTCTGCGGAGTAGGCAAGCTTTATTTAACATTTCATTTTCCATCAACTTAGCTAGGTTATAAAGCATCCACTCTGATATCTGAATTTTATGTAATTTTCCAATGTCATGAAGTGTTATTCTTCTTTTGATTTTTTTTTCAACCATTTAACAATGTGAAAACTGTTCTCAAGGCTGGGTGCAGTGGCTCACATCTGTAATCCCAGCACTGTGGGAGACAGAGTCAGGTGGCTCACCTGAGGTCGGGAATTCAAAACCAGCCTGGCCAATACGGTGAAACCTCGTCTCTACTAAAAATACAAAACTTGGCCAAGTGAAGTGGCGGGTGCCTGTAATCTCAGCTATTCAGGAGGCTGAGACTGGAGAATTGCTTCAACCCAGGAGGCGTCACACCACTGCACTCCAGCCTGGGTGACACAGTGAGACTCCATCTCAAAAAAAAAAAAGAAAGAGAAAAAACCATTTCAGGTTTGGGGCTATGTGGGCAAATGGGTTGCAGACCCCCTGCTCTAGAAAGCCAAACCCCCCTGGGGGTCAGGCTGTCTCTTTACAGCACTCAGAGTTCAGCCCATTCCCAATCTAGGTCTTCTGTTCCTGGCTCAACAGTAATCAAAGAAAACCATGCTCTCTCTTTCCACCTTCTTTAAAATCCCACCCAAGCCTTCCTTGAACCATCTTGGTAACATGAAGAAAGTAGTAGTCATCTATACTTCCAAATTCTACATTTTTTTTTTCCAGGAGAAACTATAACTCACCCTCCCTCCTCTTTAATTATTTCCTTGCCACCAAATTTCTCAACTTACTTATTTCTCTGGTCTTTCCCTCAACCAGATGCTGGCTTCCCACTTCATTTAGAACTCCCAAGGAGCCATTTGTCTACTCCCTCTGGTGGAGAGATATTTGTCTGCAATTGACTAAAGTAGATGTATAAAAAAAAAAAAAGTCTAGGAAAAATTTTCTATATAAGAGAGACACGTATTCAGAAGCAGACAGTCTATGATTCTCTCCATGTATGTGCCTTGAAGAACTTGCTATGACTCTGATTTTCAAGATCAAGTTCATATTCTACAATTTAATTGGAATAGCTATTGATACCCTTGGCCCTTCAACTTTTTTAAGTGGTAGCATCGTAGAATACCGATGGGAGGAACCATATTTGCTATTTGACAACAAAGTACTATCAACTAGTGTATCTTTGAAAACTATTTCATGATTTCTATTCCTTGTTTGGGACAGTCTGTGCCTGGTTTCTAATCATTTACATATTACATATCAAAATCATTACATATTACATATCAAAATCATTAGTGAATGATTTTGATATGTAATAAAGAATAAATTTTAAGTAAATTAAATTCAAAGATTTTAAAAATTTCTATTGCCTTTATATGTTGGTTGGGGGCAGGGTGTGGTGTAACAAGAGCACCAGTTTTCTAAAATGAATAGTATGCTTGTATTTTGAGTTTTATCGAGACAATACTGCCACCTCTTGGTCTTCAGAAGAACCAATTTCCCTCATTAAACTGCTTAAACAGAACATGTAATATACAAATTCAGTACAAATTGTTCAATTACACAGAGTCACTAAGCTAGGATATTTTCCAGTAGGAGCATCAGTAAACGGACAGTGTGTCCTGACAAAATGTACAAAACGTGATGATGAAGTCAAGCTATGTTAGCTATGATAGATACAAAAGGAGTAGGAATCTGAGGCCTTGGTAATTTGAATGAATGCCATGGCCTATGTTAGAAAGACGGTCCCTGAGTCTTAAAGACACTGCAGGTGGAGCAAAGAACAATTCTCTCCTCCGATATCCCCTTCTGCAGTACCTCTGTCCTCCCACCACACTGAGTTTTTCTTCATTCTTCAGTCTCACCATGCTGCGTGCCTTGTGGCTCCCCAAATCTTTGTACATATGCTTGCTTTGCATATGTACATACCTTTCCTGGCTGAGCCATGCACGTCTTGGCTCACTTTCATAAACTCATTTCTGAAACCATGTCAGCCAAAAACTACTAATCTCAACTCAACATCAAAACTACTGAAAAGCCTTCTCCAACTCCCCCAGATAGTTACTTCTCTTATAGATACAGCATTTTTTTCCTTTTCTTTCTTTAATATTATATCTACTGTTAATTTTTAAATATTTTATTTTATATACTTTACTAGTCTTGCCGACTAAATTTTGTGTTCCTTAAAGAATAAGACCTTGTTAGCTGGGTGTGGTGGCTCACGCCTATAATCCCAGCACTTTGGGAGGCCGAGGTGGGCAGATTAGGAGTTTGAGACCAACCTGACCAACACGGAGAAACCCCACCTCTACTAAAAATACAAAATTAGCCAGGCATGGTAGTGCATGCCTGTAATCCTAGCTACTTGGGAGGCTGAGGCAGAAGAATTGCTTGAACCTGGGAAGCAGAGGTTGCGGTGAGCCAAGATGGGACCACTGCACCACTCTAGCCTGGGCAACAAAAGCGAAACTTTGTCTCAAAAAGGAAAGAATAAGACCGTGTCTATCTTAGTTTGCTCAGGATACCATAACAAAATACCATAGACTGGGTGGCTTAAACAATAGAAATGTATTTCTCACAGTTCTGGAGGCTGGAAGTCCAACATCAAGGTGTGAGCAGATTCAGTTTCTGGTGAGAGCCTTCCTCATGGCTTGCAGATGGCTGCCTTCTTACTGTGTCTTCACATGGTGGAAAGAGAGCGAGTGAGCTCTCTAGTGTGTCTTCTTATAGGGATACTAATCCTGTAGGATCAGGGTTCCACCCCTATGATCTCATTTAACCTTAATTACTTCCTTGGATGCACCTTTTCCAAATACAATAACATTGGGGGTTAGAGCCTCAACATATGCGTTATTTAGGGGGACCCAATTTGATCAATAACACTTTTTATTAGTATTCAATTTTATATAGAAGGTACTCAGTATATAATTATTGGCTAATTGTCTGACAGGCTGGCAGGGACAAAAACAGGATGAATGGATGGATGGATGGATGGACGGACGGACGGATGGACGGACAATATTAAAAGTCCCAGTGCATTGCACAGTTTTAAACTATTTCACCTTACTCACCTGGGAACTTTTTCTACAGAAATATACTTCTAAGTTTATCATTAAAATCAGAAAAATAAGTGTTACTTTATAGATTTTTTTATATCCCATATGCTCAGCATTACTTATAGTACTTTTTTGTATAAAGCTTTTTAAGTAAGAGTTTGCTTTTATCTTTGTAGGAAATCATTGGAAAGAATGAAATACTCTTACTAACAGTATAAAAGTGTTATTCAGCTGATATTAGAGAGGAAGCATGAAGCATGTTTAAAAAAAAAACAACTCTGTGATATTTATTAATTGCTCATGAATCCCGGACCAGTCTGGGTCAGAAAGAACTCCTTACATCTTGGAGAATTGTGTGTGTCCCCTCAAAATTCATATGTTGAAATTCTAACCTGAAATTTAGGAGGTGGGACCTTTGGAAGACAATTAGGTCATGAGGGTAGAGCTCCCCTTAACGGGATTAGTGCCCTTGTAAGAAGAGACACAGAACCTTACTTGCTCCCTCTACTCTCCACTATATGGTGGCATAGCAGTTTGCAGATGCTATCTGCAAACCATGAAGAGAGCTCTCACCGGAACCCAACCATGCTGGCAACCTAATCTTAGACTTCCGAGTCTCCAGAAATGTAACAAATGTTTTTTGTTTGAAGCCACCCAGCCTGTAGTAATTTCTCATATTAACTGGAACTCACTGAGACAAGGGGCTACTCAAACATACTAGCCTAAGGCAACTATAATCTAGTATATTTCTTAGCTGCCCTGAACAGGGAAGAAAATGGAATTTTTCAGCCTGCATGTGCTTTTAAGCAAAGAAGATATTTGCTCATGGTATTGATAAGTGATGGGTGGCAGAGGATATTTCTAGTCTGGAGTCAGGTATGGCATGGATTCAACAAATATTTGCTTATTGCTAACATCTAAATTTAAGTGATACAGTTTCAGTAAAATATAATGTTTGATTTAGCAGCTTCGGTTGTAGCAAAAAGTTCCTAACTTAACAACAACAAAAGAACTCATTAAAGATCACTGAACTGCCCATTTTTTCTATGTCCGTCTCAGTTTCTTTGGACTTATGTCCTAATTTTACACTTGGTCTAAGAGGGTCTTCACGGGAAGCCTCAGCCATTGCTGATGAGCTGTGCCCCATCCTCACTATACCTGCATCACATCTTTTACATTCCAACACTAATTAAGTTCAACAATAGGCTTGATGATTGACCCTTGTCAAGTTAGGAAATTAAGTTAAGCAGTAAGAGACTAGTTCACATTTCCTAGTTATTCAATCCTGTTACATACCAAATCTGTAGTTAAAACATTGTGGGAAAATTCTGTTACTCAAATAGCATGGTATGTCTACAGTAAATACGTCCTAAAAGGTAACAGCATGTATTTTTGAAAAAGTTATGCAAGCTTTGTTGTTTTTGTTTGTTTGTTTTGAGATAGATGCTCATTCTGTCACCCAGGCTGGAGTGCAGTGGCACAACCTTGGCTCACTGCAATCTCTGCCTCTCGGGTTCCATAAATCCTCCCATCTCAGCCTTCCAAGTAGCTGGGCCTACAAACACATGCCACCACGCCCAGCTAATTTTTGTATTTTTTAGTAGAGACGGGGTTTCACCATGTTGGCCAGGCTGGTCTTGATTGCCTGACCTCAAGTAATTTGCCTGCTGTGGCCTCTCAAAGTGCTAGGATTATAGGTGTGAGCCACAGCACCCATCTGATTATGTTAGTCTTAAATTTTAATTATTTATTTATATTGTTTCAGAGGCATTTTAATTCCATTTCTGTCTGGTCTTTATTTTGCCTTGAAAACGTGATTTTTTTTTTTAACACATTTTCTCTACCCTGTATCAGTCTTACCTTCGTTCCCCAAATCTCACTATCAATTACCTTATATGTAGTTTTGCCTTCTAGCAGAGCTATGCACAGTAACCCGTGTGTTTATTTACCAGGTTCAGGGATGATATTGGCCTGGGCTGAGAAACACTGTTTATAAGCTGGAAATATTAATTGGGTTTATTTTCTTTTGCAATTCCTAGATAGAAGAGCGAGCAGAATTTTTGAATAAGTCTGTGCAGAAAAGGTAAATACGGTTGATGGTTCATTTGAGCTAATCAGCTAGCATATGTATGGGAAGATTCTCTCTCATATTTTTATATGTCTGTGTTTATTTTTTTAGCAGTGGTGTCAAATCAACTCATCAAGCAGCAGTAGTCTCCAAGATTGACAGCAGACTGGAGCAGTATACCAGTGCAATTGAGGTGAGAACTGTCCTCAGCGTTATGGTCCCACTGAACAGAAATAGATTCTGACTACATAGAAGACCACAAAAACACTTAGGACAATAATCAAGTCCGATAGCCACAGTAGTGCTAGAATTTTTTTTTTTGAGATGTACCCTCACTGTGTCACCCAGGCTGGAGTGCAGTGTGCAATGTTGGCTCACTGCAAACTCCACCTCCCAGGTTTAAGCGATTCTCCTGCCTCAGCCTCCTGAGTAGGTGGTATTACAGGGGCCCACCACCACACTCAGCTAATTTTTGTATATTTAGCAGATACAGAGTTTCACCCCATTGACCAGGCTGGTCTCAAACTCCTGACCTCAAGTGATCCACCTGCCTCGGCCTCCCAGAGTGCTGGGATGACAGACATGAGCCACTGCACCCAGCCCCCAGTAGTGTTAGAATATTAATGATGCTTTATTACACTTTGAAATTCTAAGTTCTAAGAAGTACAATAATAAAGATAAATTTTAGAAGAGTTTAAATAAATTATTTTCTACTTTCAGCCTGAATATTGTTTAATGAAAAGGTTACTCTTTTAATGAATGGGTTTATTGGTATTTAACTAAAATTTTTATACATTCACATTTATATCTTCAATATCCCTAATTCCTTATGAAATATGTTCCTATATGTGGTTTGAAGAGGTCTCTTACGATCTTAATCCTGTTGTTTATATAAACCTCTTTTTTTTTTGCCAATCAGTGTGAGCCTATAAGGTTGCCCAGGTTAGCCTTGAACTCATGACCTCGCCTTTGCAAGCACCACGACCTCCGGCCGGAGCCACCTTGGACCCCTATATAAACCTCTTATTATCAAAAGTAGTAGTATAATGTAATATAAAAATGATAGCCAACCCAAGTTTAATCATCATCAGTTTCAAACAGATTTTTATATTTGAAGGACCACAGTTTTATGTGTCTATCTACTTCACCTTTTTTCCCCCACCCAACTGATCTGGGGGTTTTATTCTATTTGGAAATGTGTATTTCCAGTACCAAAGCACCAAAACGGATCATCAAGATGTGATCCTGCTGTTTTCTTCTTTGTATAGACTTTAGTCAATGGTTTTAGCCTCTTGTACATCAGAGCACCTTCTATGAAGTAACTGGATCAGTTTGATTTGATTTTTTCTTCTCTTTTACACTCTGGAGTGGAGATACACATATAATAGTTTACAGGCCGGGTGTGGTGGCTCATGCCTGTAATCCAAGCACTTTAAAGGCCAAGGCGGGCGGATCACCTGAGGTCGGGAGTTGAAGACCAGCCTGACCAACATGGTGAGACCCCGTCTTAAAAAAAAAAAAAGTAGTTTACAGATGCTAAGAGGAAATGAGGAGAGGCATCTGATGATTTTTCAAAGGAACAATCAAGTCTTAACACTGAAGATGTGATTTACAAGACTAAATGTCCACTCAAATAGACGACAGATTGCAGATCATTATTTTCTTTGGCTGAGTTGGTCATAGCACTAATAGGTATAATGACACCAAGACTATGGCTTTAAACTTTGCATAGTACAGTGAGACTGTTCTTTATGCCATGGCCACTAATGGTGTCACTCATCCAAGAAGGCTGTGCCTTCTTAACCATAGGTGCAGGCCAGAAAGCAGGACTGGAAGAGAAACTCGAGCCATTTGGGGTATGGCCTTCATTAATGCCGGGAGAGTGTCTTGAATACACTTCTTTCTTACTTACATCCATTTTTTCCTCCTTTCCAATATATTTCCCATGCAGGGGTATCTCAGTCTTTCCATCTTTTAGCTCTTTCCTGCCTCAGGACTTTTGCACATGCTGTTACCTCTGCAGGGAATGGCGTTTGCTCCTCCTGTTTACTTCCCCACTTTCAAGTCTTCTGTCAGATCTGGGTTTAAATGTCACTTCTTCAGAGTAGCCTTCTTTGTACCCCCAACTAAGTATTATTCCCCAATTGTGTGCCATGCTTTATGGCACTTCATTATTTTTCATAGCATTTAGCAAAGTCTGAAATAACTACTTGTATAACTAGTTACTGTCTTCCTTTTCTATTAAAATGTAAGCCACCTGCAGCTCACAAAACTTTTTTTTTTTCTTTTGGAGACAAGAGTTTGTTTTTTTTTTTTTGAGACAGAGTTTCACTATTGCCCAAGCTGGAGTGCAATGGCGTGATCTTGGCTCATTGCAACCTCTGCCTCCCGGGAAGAATCAAACGATTCTCCTGCCTCAGCCTCCTAGAGCCTAGCAAAGTGGCCTGCATACAGTAGGCATTGAAGAAGTATTGCTGAGGCCAGGTGTGGTGACTCATGCCTGTAGTCACAGCATTTTGGGAGGCCAAGACAGGATGATACGTTGAGCCCAGGAGTTCAAAACCAGCCTGAGCAACACAGGGACTATGCCTGACTATTTTTTTTTCATTTTTTTCTCTACAAAATGGAGAGAAGCCTATGGTTCCAGCTACTCAGGAGGCTGAAGTGGGAAGATCACTTGAGGCCTGGAGGTCATGACTACAGTGAGCCTTAATTGTGTCACTGCACTCCAGCCCAGGTGACAGAGCAAGACTCTGTCTCAGAAAAAAAAAAGAAAAAAAAATCGAAGAAACAAAGTAAAATATCAATTTCACAATAAATGATGTCCGAACAGAAACCATATTCCATTCTTGGAAGATCCTCTGATCTAGCTGTGAGGGTTCATTTTGAGGGACATCTGTCATCAGGATATAGTTTTATAGCAGAAATTATCACTCTCATTTTCAGTGAAGGTGTTTACACAACGAATTTTTAAGATGACAGTGTTGGGGAAGACAAGCTCACTACAATTATGTGAGAACAAACTTCTTGCACCAGTCCTAAAAATAACTCACACATTTCAGGGAACAAAAAGTGCAAAACCTACAAAGCCGGCAGCCTCGGATCTTCCTGTTCCTGCTGAAGGGGTACGCAACATCAAGAGCATGTGGGAGAAAGGGAATGTGTTTTCATCCCCCACGGCAGCAGGCACCCCAAATAAGGTGAGCATCTGATTTTTGTCTTTTAAGTGTGGAGGGACACATTTTTTTGGCATGTCGATTTCAATTTAGGAATCACACTAGTAAATAATAAAAGCAGTGTAGAAGGTGCAATGTGTACTTTGTTTTGCAATGACCACAAACGCAGGCTCAGAGAGAACGTGTTGGTGAGGTTGCCCTATGTGGAAGCCCCGGCCATTGTTCTCTAACACGCCTGAGCTGAAATGTCCACCCTTGGGGTTGGGGTAGGGTGAGTTACAAGGGAAAGAAAACTGGACAGTATATTCTGTAAATATCAGGTGTTAAGATGATATTTTGAATTTGCCTTGAAAATTCCTTCCCAGGTAGTTAACTTTGTTCTTTAATATTTTGGATGATTCCCCTTTGTAGGAAACTGCTGGCTTGAAGGTAGGGGTTTCCAGCCGCATCAATGAATGGCTAACTAAAACCCCAGATGGAAACAAGTCACCTGCTCCCAAACCTTCTGTAAGTACCTTTAGGTTTTTCTGAGTTTCTTTGATCTCTCAGCTCCTAGCAGAGGAAGAAAACAATCAGTTGGTCTGTTTACCTAGGAATCACAGGGCCCTGTTCTTTGCTTTCCCTAACGAATATCAAAGAAGTGTTCAAATTTACAGCAGTTCTAAGAAGCTGCATTGCAGTTACTCAGGGGGTAAAATGAAACCAAATAATCACCTCTACACCCTAACTGAAATGAGTCAGCCAGAATACTGAGGCAGTTCAAAGTTAGACCCTTTACTCGTCTATTTGTTTAGCTTCTATTCTATAAATCCTGGATAGCAATTTGACAACGAAAGGTCAAATTATTTTGGCTACTACTTTATCAAGAGCACCCACCCCTAAATTCCCAAAAGAATATGTATGTTGTCTATTGTGAACCTGTGTGTTCCAATATACCTAATTTTTATACCATGGCACAAAAATGCAGTTCTTGGGTAGTTGTTGAAATAATTGGTCTAATTGTGTTGTCAGCACCTCCTGAGGAAAGTCATAAAACTGGAAACACTAGAAAAACTGGTTATGAATGATAAGTTTTTGAGAATCTAAAATTCTCTTAATTTACGAAGTGCAGCTATCTTGCTAAAAAGTACATTTCTTTTCACCTTTCATTGAATGTATATGACAGTTACCTTGGATTTGTCATTATAATAAGAAAACGTATGAAGCTCCTCACTGTATATTGCTGAGCTTTCCCTGTTAAGTTTGCTTTTATAGCTGTTATAAAAAAAAAAAAGGTAAGAGTCCACCGTCATAATCCTACATTCTAGAGGAAGAAGAAAAACTTTCCAATCCTAGACCTCTGTGCATTGAATTGTATCCATTGGCTACATGCCATTTAATTGCATTCTTTGGCTCCATATATAATCTCCAAAGTCACTAAATTTTGTCAGTTTCCAATTTAAAAAGAGAAAAGAAGAAATGAAAAGGTTCGCAAATCCTTCTTGGGCACAACTCCTTGAACCATTTAATTAATATATACCCTGAGATTCTTTGCATACGGACTCACAGGAAGTATAAACTAACGTCAAGCCAACTGACAATCAGAAAATCTTTATGCATTGAAAAAAGCAACTATTCCTGCCCTCTCAATAGGTACAAGAAAGGAGGTTTGCTGGCCGGGTGCGGTGGCTCATGCCTGTAATCCCAGCACTTTGGGAGGCCGAGGCGGGTGGATCACGAGGTCAACAGATCGAGGCCATCCTGGTCAACATGGTGAAACCCCGTCTCTACTAAAAATACAAAAAATTAGTGGGCATGGTGGTAATCCCAGCTACTCAGGAGGGTGAGGCAGGAGAATTGCCTGAACCCAGGAGGCAGAGGTTGTGGTGAGCCGAGATCGCGCCGTTGCACTCCAGCCTGGGTAAACAAGAGCGAAACTCCGTCTCAAAAAAAAGAAAGGGGGTTTGTAAAAGGACACTGTCGAGACAAGAGGCCATACCCAAAAGTTATGTTCTCTTTAGTGCCTCAAGTTTTCCCACCATCTCTGGTATCAGAAGGAGTAGAAATTATTTTCAAAAACAAAGCCACTGCAGTATATATAAGTTTTGTGGTTCCAGACCAATGATTATTAACCTTTTTTGAATTTGAACCCCTTTGAAAACCTAATGAAATCTAAGGATCCTCTCCCCAAAAACATACATATAAAAAACAAGACGGTCCATGGACCCACTGAGGAACTCTAAGATAATAAGGAGAGAAAGATCTATGCTTCCCTCTTCAATAAGTGTGAAATATTGCAAGGAAATGCTAATTTTTGCATGTTTATGATATTTGCAATCTTTCATTTGTGTAGCAGATTATACTCATAAATTTGGTCCAGAACTTGCCCCCTATTCTTTTATCGGCACTTTAACCTGTCAACTTAAGAGTTTACCATCATCTGTATGACATCCTAATGAGGTTTAAAAGATAAAATTCAGTTATTATTATGATAGGTATAACTGTATCCAGGTTTCCACAGCAAGTAAGCAAGAACATACACCTTGTTCTGGGGTTATTGACAGCTTCCTAAAAAAAAAAAAGATATTGCAGAGAAATTACAGAATCATTGCCTGCTTTTTCTACTAGTGTGTGACTTGCTAGAGCACCCTCTAGAGGATAGAGAAGAAAAGGAAAGAACAACATGGCAGTTAGTATAGATTTTAGTGAGGTCTTTCTTCCCATTAGATTTTGTAGACTAGTATGGCTTCCTGAATGAGAACCAGATGGAAGAAAGTTCTATGAAATCAATGTTGTAAATACACCAGATTGCTACTGGGATGTCCCTTGCTATTTGTGGGTAGAATTTATAGTATTTCAGTGTAACTTTGTAACTGCATTCAATTCTAAGTATATCTGTTTTAGCTGGTTTGTCTATTCTTGGTGTCTAAACTACAAGTTACACAGCAATTAAAAAGCTAATTTGTCTTTCTTTTTGTTTAAAAAAAAAAAAACCAACAATGTCTTTCTCAGCTGAACTTCTGTTCCTCACTCTTTGGTCTCTGGTTGATTGGAAACCTGCTTCTCCTGCCTTCATTTCTCCCTCTTCTTCCGGAGTGGGTCTTTCTCTAAAATGTAGTCTGGTCAGGTAATTCCATTTATATTTCCCCTTTGATTTAAAATGCCAACTTATAACTCGGATGTTAATATTTTCTTAAAAGGACTCTAAACTCTTTAACTCTGATCTTGAAAGATTCATCAGCAGGATTTATGGGAAGTGCAGTCCATTTGCTTCGGTAGACAAACATGGATGTGAGGGAAAAAATATTTGTCTCATATGAATCAAATGAATAAAGCACTAAAGCTGCCTTCCAGAGCGTCCATCAGTGTGCTCCTAATCATAGTGTCCAAACTTTTACAACAGTCTTCCAGACAGTTTGGCAGCATCTACCTATGCTGGCAAATGTCGTGGAATTCTACAGAAATAATCTGATTTGTTGCTTAATGGCTCCAAGTTAAACAGGTGTAACTCTCTAATAGAATATCAGGAATTCATGCCACAGAGGAAATCCAGAAACTCAGTAAGGTTTAGACAAATCTGAAATGCTTCACATGGTATCATTTAACTGTGCATTTTCAGTGTCACAGTCTCAATACGATCTATCAGAAGTATGTCCATTTCGATCAGTATCCACGGGTAAATGCAATGGCTGTTAGCTTTGCCTTCCTCCTGAGAAAAGGGTTTGCCAAGATAAGCATTACTATTTCAGTAAAGCACATTTATTTTCTACAAACTACCTTTTGCCAAGTACTAATATAAGCAAATGCTGGAAGAAAAGTAAACTGAAACAGAAATTTGGATCCTTACCCAAATGAAATTAATTATGAGGTAGTATATAAGGACTCCAAGCTATATAACTGTTATTGATGGTATTTTAGTGTTTCCGTCCTAAGATTTCCACATGTTCTTACACATGTCATCAGCTGTCAACTTCTCGTATGGGTTCAATTTGTGATGAATGTTTATATTTGCTAGGTTCTACTGATCCACTTCTGAATTACCCACTTGCCCCTCAGGAGACACAAAATGATTCTAGGGTGAGGAAAGTGCTGCTAGAAAACTGACTTTGTTTGGGCTGCCCAGCTGCTGATCCCAAGACAGTGATTCCAGAGCAAGTCGTTTACATGGAGGTGAAGAAAACACTATAGGGACTGGGTTTGGGAGAAGGAGGCAGCCCGCAAAGTGTTATTAAGCAAGTCCCCACATAGACTGTTAAACCTTAATCCCACGGCGGAAATCCTGGAAGCCACCAAAGAACACATACTTCAGAGTTACCCGAGCTGCGGCAAGCGTGAGCCTGAGAAATAATTTTGCACCAACATTTGCCAGTCAGCTATTGAGGACTGCTCCTGGGGACGTTATAATAACTCTCTGGACCGGGCAGAGTGGCTCACACCTATAATCCCAACACTTTAGGAGGCTGAGGCGGGTGGATCACAAGGTCAGGAGTTCAAGACCAGCCTGGCCAACATGGCGAAAACCTATCTCTACTAAAAATACAAAAATCAGCCAGGTGTGGTGGTGGGTGCCTGTAATCCCAGCTGCTTGGGAGGCTGAGGTAGGAGAATCGCCTAAACCCAGGAGGCAGAGGTTGCAGTGAGCTGAGATTGTGTCATTGCACTCCAGCCTGGGCGACAAGAGCAAAAAATAAATAAACAAACAAACAAATAAATAAATATAAACTCTCTGAACTTTCCAACCTGCCTCCTGGGCAGGCAAAACTGGCATCTATAACCAGAGAAAGTCCCTAGGCAGAGAAGTACCATGTGGGGTTGGCTATTGGCTGGTGTTCACTAAAGTAGTAAGGGCTGGGGGAAAAGAGGTGAGAACTGAAAGGGTTCACCTGTCAGGCAGGAAGTGCTTATCAAACCTCAAATTAATTATTTTTAAATAACCTGTGCTCTACTGATTTTGAGAGTGCAGAAAGTTAAAAAGTGGCTATATTATTTTTAACATGCTCCTGTTTCACTTTTACTGATCAATAAACAGTAAGTCCTTGGTAAGGGGCAAGGACCCAGAGGCTAGTTCCAGCCCATTCTCATATCATAAGACACGTCATGGTCTATATAAAATCAAACAACAGCTAATCCTGTCTCTACTAAAAATACAAAAAAAAAAAAAAAATAGCTGGGTGTGGTCGCAAACACCTGTAATTCCTGCTATTCAGGAGGCTGAGGCAGGAGAATTGCTTGAACCCAGGAGACAAAGGTTGCAGTGAGCCAAGATTGCACCATTCCAACCTGGGCGACAGAGTAAGATTGCATCTCAAAAAAAAAATATCAAACAACAGCTGATGGTCCTTTCAATTCTATGCATTTCAGGTCCCCGGAGTAAAGTGTATTAAACAACAGATTGATTCAAATAAAGAATAGATGTGGCCATTTATTTAGAGCTGGCTAGAAAATATAAATGGCCACCTATCAATGTTTTTCTGCTTTCTCTTTATTAGGACTTGAGACCAGGAGATGTATCCGGCAAGCGGAACCTCTGGGAAAAGCAATCTGTGGACAAGGTCACTTCCCCCACTAAGGTAATCTATTGGGAGGACTAGTATTTCAGAGGTTTGTTTTCCTGATGTACCCTGCTGTATAATGTCCTGGAGTCAGATAAGAAATATCAATGACCTCCAGATCTTTGCCTGCATACCCATCAGCATCTAAAAGACCAGGACATAACACAGTGAAAGGAAAATGCATTGCAAGTTTGTCAGTCCTACAACATAAACCGCCCAAACCCGTGAATGGTTCTCAGTAAGACAGTCTCAACACAGCACAGTGGTAGGAATGTCAGCAGCAGAAAGCTGCATGGGATGCCATGGTCTATGTTTCCTTACAAGGTCCTAGCTTGGTGCCACAGTCATTTAAAGATCCTTGGGGAAAACATCTGTCTCCCTGAGTGTTTTCAAAGCTGCTTTCTGGAGTCCTTTTAGATTATATTGCCACTGCCAGCAGCCTAAGACTCAGGGTTGGTATGGCAAAAAATTAAAATACTCAAAATAAGGCAAAAAATATTCAAAATTAAAATAATATTCAAAAGTAAGGCAACCATTTACCACCCTATGAAAACAAATGACTAAGAATGATAGTGTTCCTCTTTCACTTTTAGTCTTAAAGGATTGGTCATTCTTCAGAAAGGAGGCTCTGAAGAACATCCAAATGATGCTCAGACTACAAACGTGACCCTTTGTGGTACAATGAGCTCATTCAACTCCCAACTGTAGCCTTTCCCCGTCCAAGTAATAGTCTAGTCTTCTCCTTCAACAAAGAAAAATTAAAAAGAGAGAAACTGAAGACCAACAATAAGCAAGGTTACGACAGGCTGCTTACGGGTTAATTTAAAAAGAAGCACTTCCTAAGCAAACTCAGGACTACAGAACACATCAAAGACAACTAGAGAATCACTGCAATTCACTACAGTGAGAGAACTACCTTCCCTTTCCTACTTTCTACACGCTCTTAGTTCTGGCGCAGCTGCCTAAACATAGTACCCCACCTTCACCGTTAGCTACATATTATGCTTTTATTCCATTAAAATCCACTAGCCCAGCCTCTCCTTAAGGTGACTTTTAAATAAGTTCCACTTTCTAAGTCATTGCTAAACATATGAAAACTGCCTGCTGGTAATGATCACATTACAAACTACTAGCACTAAGTGAGCACCCCGCTATATGCCAGACACTCTTCCACCTTCTTACCCTCCATTACCTCATTTGATCCTCCAGTCATGTGAGGTAAGTAGCGGATCATTCTTATTTTGCAACTGAGAAAAACGAGGCGCTGAGAGATGAAGAAACTTTCCCAAAGTCACATAGCGAATAAGTAGCATAACCTGCGCTGATACTCCAGCAGTCTGATGCGAGCCTGAATTCTTAACCATTATACTTTGCCTGCACACGTCTAAAGTCTATACTTGGCCATCAGCCTCTAAAAGACCAGTACAGAACACAGTGAAAGGAAAAGTGCATTGCAAGTCTGTCAGTCATACACATCACATAAGCAGCCCAAACCCATGGAAGGGTCTCAGTAAGACATTCTCAATACAGCACAGTGGTAGGAACATGGTCATATCTTTCTTTTAGGATACATATTCAGGAGAAAATGTATAGTCATTCAATTCCTTGTATAATTTTCTCCCGGTGGCAGCGGAGAAAAGAACTTTCTTTGTTATTTTATTTTATTTTTTTTGAGACAGAGTCTCACTCCGTCACCAGGCACCAGGCTGGAGTGCAGTGGCACGACCTCGGCTCACTGCAACCTCCGCCTCCCAGGTTCAAGCAGTTCTCCTGTCTCAGCCTCCCGAGCAGCTGGGACTACAGGCACGCGCCACCATGCCCAGCTAATTTTTTTGTATTTTTTAGTAGAGACGGGGTTTCACCGTGTTGGCCGGGATGGTCTCGATCTCTTGACCTCGTGATCCGCCCACCTCAGCCTCCCAAAGTGCTGGGATTATAGGTGTGAGCCACTGTGCCCGGCCTCTGTTATTTTTTAAACGAAGAATGAGCTTGTTGACCTAAGCCTTTATGACCACTGTAGCCTATGCTATTAGCGCATTGCAGGCTTGTCAGCCATGTGATATAAATTGCCCAGACCCATGGAATGGTTCCCAGGAAGGCATTCTCCATACATCACAGTGGGAAGAACGTTGACAGCACAAGGTGTCCTCTCAGACCTCGGAGAGGTATCCAACCTCTCAGAATGGCAGTCCCAGTGTTTATATAGTTCCCATCTGAAAGGGGGATGTCAGCTGACCATACACCATCATCACCAATGGAGTGTCTCTGGATAACATTCCTTCTAGCCAGAGCTCTGGAAAGTGGGGCACAGATGCTGTGGAACGGTCAGGCTCAGTGAACACCACTCAAATACATACATGAATGGTACTTCCTGGAGTTGTGTAGCACCAGGGCAGTACAAGGTAGGAGGGTGACAGTGCAAGTTTTCACATGCCACTATTTCTACAGTAGTAATAATATAACCACCAGACACAGAACTGAGTTTATGGGGTAGCAGATTAGGTAGCTCTTTTGCTCCAAAATGTCAAACTCACTTCTTGTTACTCAGTTGTTCCTTAGAAATGAATACAATGGCCGGGTGTGGTGGCTCACGCCTATAATCCCAGCACTTTGCGAAGCTGAGGCAGGTGAATCACAAGGTCAGGAGTTTGAGACCAGCCTGGCTAATATGGTGAAACCCTGTCTCTACTAAAAATACAAAAATTAGCTGGGACTACTAGGGAGGCTGAGGCAGGAGAATCACTTAAACCTGGGAGGTGGAGGTTGCGGTGAGCTGAGATCATGCCACTGCACTCCAGCCTGGGTGACAGAGCCAGACGATAGAGAGAGAGAGAGAGGAGAGAGAGAAAGGAGGAGAGGGAAGGAAGGAAGGAAAGAAAGGAAGGAAGACAATGAACACACTTGAAAATCTGAATTAACAATACTTTACTATTTCTTAATAGCTTAGCAAATAATTTTAGCAACTAGCTGAGGGGGAGAGAATGATATAAGAATGGTACTCTAGGTCAGATAAGTTTCAGGGGTAGGGGTATAAGATTAGGAGGGAGAAAATAGATTGCTAGATTAAAAATGGGAGAAAACTGAAGATAAACATATCCTCCTTCACCATCATACATTGATGTGGCCCTAACTGAGCTATTCAGTCACGTGTACCTGTCCTGGAATACACACTGTAGATTTTTGGCTCTTACAGTGGAGTTTAAAAAATGAAAAAAAAAAAAAGCAACTTTTTTGATTCTGAATGCTATGAGCAAGGCCAAAGGTTAAGATAGGAGAAAAGAACATAAAGGAGAAAGATAGGAAGAGGGAAGTGAAAAAAATCAGCAGAAGGAAGGATAAAATGAAAGGAGATCCGGCTGGGTGCAGTGGCTCACACCTGTAATCCCAGCGCTTTGGGAGGCCAAGGCAGGCAGATCACTGGAGGTTAGGAGTTTGAGACCAGCCTGGCCAACATATAGAGAAACCCCGTCTCTACCAAAAATACAAAACTTGGCCGGGCGTGGTGGCTCATGCCTGTAAGCCCCAGCCACTCAGGATGCTGAAGTGGGAGAATCACTTGAACCCAGGAGGCAGAGTTTGCAGTGAGCTGAGATCACACAACTGCACTCCAGCCTGAGTGACAGAGCAAGATTTCATCTTAGAAAAATAAAACAATAAAAAATAAAACATCATATTTTAATAGAATGCCAACAATAATCCTCTCTTTCATAAATATTTATTCCTGCCATACTATTATTCCTTTTTCTTTTGACTACAAAAACCATCTGCCTGAAACACTGTAGGCTGTCAATTTCAAGTTCTTTTCTCTCGGCAGGTTTGAAACAGTTCAAGAAAGAACCCAAGCTCAAGACGCGGGACGAGCTCAGTTGTAGAGAGCTAATTTGCTCTGTTTTGTATTTATGTTGATTTACTAAATTGGGTTCATTTTATTTTTCAATATCCCAATAAATCCATGTATATTATCACTATATTTAATAATCACAGTCTAGAGATGTTCATGGTAAAAGTACTGCCTTTGCACAGGAGCCTGTTTCTAAAGAAACCCATGCTGTGAAATAGAGACTTTTCTACTGATCATCGTAACTCTGTGTCTGAAGAGTGATACACCAACCACATCTGAAGTCAACAAGATCCAAGTTTAAAATTGCCTGCGGAATGTGTGCAGTATCTAGAAAAATGAACCGTAGTTTTTGTTTTTATAAATACAGAAGTCATGTTGTTTCTGCACTTTATGATAAAGCATGGAAGAAATTAATCTTAGTAGGCAATTGAACACTTTTTGAAAGTAACCCATTTCAGATTTGATATACTGCAATAATGGTTGTCTTTAAAAAAAAAAAGGAAATGTACTGTTAAGGTATTACTTTTTTTCATGCTGATTCATATCTAAATTACATTATTATGTTAGCTGACAGTGGTACTGATTTTTTAGGTTGGTTGTTATGTGGATTTCTTTAGTAGTGATAGTAGCCTGAACCACATTTTAGATAACCCAATTATGTATGTATGTGCATACACATATACAAACACACTAATGGTAGAATGCTTTTTTATGTGCTAGACTATTATATTTAGTAGCATGTCATTGTAACTAGCCAATATCACAGCTTTTGAAAACTTAAAAATCACAATATATTAATATTTCATATTTGCCAATAGAAACATGGCAGATAGGTATCAATACGTTTTCAATGCCTGATGACCTATAAGAAGAAAGTATTGGGGGAAAAAAGAGATTGGAAGTGTCACAAGGAGTTGAAATTTTCCAAAAGACATAGTATTTAGTTTATAATTAAATGCAATCTTGAAGTCCAGTGTGAATTTTATTAATGCTGTCATCTCAATCAAGCTCAAAGCCTGCTTATTCCAAACAAAGAAGTTCACAATATGTCATAAGATCTTGTCTCTAAATGTCACTAACAAGAAAGTTAGTGACAATATTGTACAGATTGCAATTCCATGTGTAAGTCTAAACAAGGACAAATAACTTTGGCTAAATGTCTGGAAGCAGAGAAGTAAAGTGAGCAAAACCCAGTGTTTGGGGTCATGACAGTACTTTCATCTTTATATACTCTGAAACTTTTTAAATTAAACTTTTCTACCTTTATTTGTCATCGGCACTTGTCATAAGTTGACAAAGTGGTGAAATTTCAAAGTTATATGTAACTTCTACTAGTTTTACTTTTTTCTCTAAGTCTTTTTTTTTTTTTTTTTTGAGACAGAGTTTCGCTCTTGTTACCCAGGCTGGAGTGCAATGGCGCGATCTCGGCTCACTGCAACCTCTGCCTCCTGGGTTCAGGCAATTCTCCTGCCTCAGCCTCCTGAGTAGCTGGGATTACAGGCACGTGCCACCATGCCCAGCTAATTTTTTATATTTTTAGTAGAGACGGGGTTTCACCATGCTGACCAGGATGGTCTTGATCTGTTGACCTCGTGATCCACCCGCCTCGGCCTCCCAAAGTGCTGGGATTACAGGCGTGAGCCACCACACCCGGCCCTCTCCAAGTCTTTTTTAACTCATGATTTTTATACACACAATCCAGATCTTATTACAGCCTCTAAGTCTTCATTCTTCACAGTAGATAATAAACGAGTCCTCCAGTGTCCTGGCAAAATGTTCTGGTATTGCTGGATACATCCAGTGGAGTTATATAAACTCATACCTCAGTGGACTTAACCAAAATTGTGTGTCTCAATTCCTAACACACTGCGGGAGCCTCTCCAATAACTATTTTCTTATCTACAATATTCCTCCAGAAGTGCTAACTAGGGCAGGGCTGGCATGAGAAGTGACCCCTGCATTCCAAAGTCTATTTTCCTCATAAGTCTGTAAAGAACAGTTGAATCTCCTAGCTTTAGCAAACCTGGGCCAAAGGAAGGAAATCCACGAAGAATGCACAAGTCAAACACTCATGACAGAGTAGGCACAAGTCTACGAGAAGCTAAATTAGAATTTACAAACAGAAGTGCCCCGGTAGCACTGACTCCCATCGTTGGAGTGAAATGGACAAAGTTTCAATTAAGGCCTATGGTGAGGTCACATTGCTTTGTTGTATTTTTGAACAAGAGCTTCTCCTGATCACTATTATATATTTTTCTAGAAAATCTTAAGTTCAGAAGAGAATGTATCATTCCTGACTTTTATTCCAATATTTGGATGGAGTAAGTTTTAGGGTAGAATTTTGTTCAGTTTGGATTTAATCTTTTGAAAAGTAAATTCCTTGTTTACTGGTTTGACTATAATTCTCTGTTATCTTTAAGAGGTAAAACTGCAAGCTGACTAGCATGTTCTGTGAATCTGCCATTCCTAAAAATTTTATAAACACTTGATATTTTTCACTGATAATTGATCGCTGCAATAAAAGTATATTGTGAAAATGCATCCACAATAAATGGAGTTCTTTCAAAATGTCTTTGCCTCACTTATTACAGTACTGATAGTGAGAGGTATGTGTATTGTAATAAAGATTATGGCACAGTAAAACTTGTATTTCAGGTTGAGTCTTGGTTTCACTCTTTAAAGAAGAAAAGCATTTTCATATTTTTAAAATGCTTATTACAAGCAATTGTTTAACAAAATGTAGAAAATTGGCCTTAGGCCCAGTGCGGTGGCTCACACCTGTAATCCCAGAACTTTGGGAGGCTAAGATGGATGGATCATAAAGTCAGGAGTTTGAGACCAGCCTGACCAACATGGTGAAACCCTGTCTCTACTAAAAATACAAAAATTAACTGGGCGTGGTGGTACACACCTATAATCCCAGCTACTCAGGAAGCTGAGGCAGAAGAATCACTTGAACCTGGGAGGCAGAAATTGCAGTGAGCCAAGATCATGCCACTGCATTCCAGGCTGGGCAACAAACAGAATGAGACTCCTCTCAAAAAAAGAAAATTGGTCTTATGTCAACAACTAACCAAACATGTATGGGAAAGGTTAAAGAGGGATTTTTCAAGTCCTTCATAAAAGAAACTATTGTCTGGGCACAGTGGCTCACGCCTGCAATGCCAGCACTTTGGGAGGTAGGAGGATTGCTTGAGCCTAGGAATTCAAGACCAGCCAGGGCAACATAGCAAGACCTTCTTCTGTACAAAAACATTAAAAAGCCAGGCATGGTGGCATATGTCTGTAGTCCCAGATACTCAGGAGGCTGAGGCAGAAGAATCCCTTGAGCCCTGGAGGTCAAGGGTGCAGTGAGCCCTGATCACACCACTGCACTCCAGCCTAAGTGACAAAGCAAGGCTCTGTCTCAAAAAAATAGATAATATCAAATGTCCCTCCATCCTCCTCCTCATTGCCAGTGTTGTCACATACCAGCCCTCTGGCTGCTAAGATGGGAAGTACTGCTTTCCCAAAGGCAGTGTCTTTTATAGTAGAAACACCATTTAATATATACCATTCGTTTGTACAATACTTAGTACTTGCAAGGGACTGGTGATTACATGTGAATCCAAAGTTATTTTTTCATGTTAATGTTGAATATTTATGTAGCACTAATTGGTCTGAAATTAGCAGTTCTCATAAAGGTTTTAAACTGAGTTTGAAGCTCCTCAACAGTTCCCTCAACACTGCCCATAAGATTGACACAATTGGATGGGCACAGTGGCTCATGCCTGTAATCCCAGCACTTTGGGAGGCCCAGGCAGGTGGATCATGAGGTCAGGAGTTCGAGACCAGCCTGGTCAATATGGTGACACCCCATCTCTACTAAAAAAATACAAAAATTAGCTGGGCATGGTGGCACGTACCTGTAGTCCCAGCTACTCGGAGGATGAGGCAGAAGAATCGCTTGAACCCAGGAGGCAGAAGTTGCAGTGAACCGAGATTGTGCCACTGCACAGCAGCCTGGGTGACAGAGTACCACAAAAAAAAAAAAAAAAAAAGAAAAAGATGATTGACACAACTAAGATACTATTAAAAATTACTATTTTTATTTCTGTGTCTTAAGAAGGGTGATAAGTATAGACAATAATATAATTGTTTTCAAAATTAATTTGCAAAATTAAGCAATGGAAAGAATACAATCTACTACCAATACCAAACTGATAAGATTAGGGATGAATGGAAATTAATTTTACAACGTGTATATTCAGAATATGAGCTTGAAAACATACTAGTGTCCTCTGTGATGTCAAAACAGGCCTGTATTAAAGGTTTTTCCCTGCCTTTGCTTGCACGTGTGCTCCAAGTGGAAGAATGGATGAGAATAAAGATCTCATCCTAAGTTTGTATTCTTCCATTGGCATTAGGAGATGACTAACAAGGTCTTGATTTGAGTGCAGTGTCTATTTTTGTCGACTCTATTAATCATGTTGTTCTAATAGTCTATATCCTACTGATTTTTTCCTTTATCTGTTACTGAGAAAGGAAAATGAAAAATCTCCCACTATGACTATGGATTTCTCCCTGTAATTCTGTTAATTTGCTTTCCACATTTTAAGATTATCTTTTAGGGGAAATATTCAATTCACTAGGGAGATATAATGGTTCTAGATCTTTAGCTAAAGATCATTATGAAGTGACTATTTCTGCAAAAACTTTTGCCTGATTTTTTCTATTTTTAAAAATTACTACAGTGGCTTTCTTTTGAGTAGGACTTGCATCACATTATTTTTTCCATCCCTTAAATTTCAACCTCTATATATTCTTTGGTCTTAGATGTGTGTCTTTAACAATCACATGATTTGGGTTTGGGTTGTAATCCAATCTGCTGATCTTTAAACTTCAACTGGAATATTTAGTCCTTTCATATTTAATATAATTACTGATATTTTTGTATTTAATAGTATCCTAGCTATGTGCCACCTGTACTATGTTACTTTTTCCTTCTTGTTCATGCTGGGGCTGCTTCTGCTTCAGAGCATATGCTGATCTACAATTGGCAGCTGAGAGGCTGAGCTAGATCTTGGGCAATACAATGGAACTAGAGAAAGAAAAGTCAGAATCTGCTAACTGCCAAGGATTAGGGCTTGGTAAACTACTTCTAGCTTTGATTGGGTCTTCAGAGAGCTGCCTCCCAAAAGTAAGGTGAATTTAAAGTTATCTGGTCTTCAAACCGATTGCCACCTAGCTTCACTCTGTGGAACAATTCTAGTATTCTAACAAGGAAATAAATGATGAATGGTAAAGATGAGAAAAACAATTCAAGAATTTAAGAGATAAAGTAGCACAAAGCTCTAGCACATAAATGTCAAAGAACTATGTAGTATATAGTTGTCGGCATTTAGAGGGAAGAGAGAATACTTCAGCCTGGGGTAATCAAAAAAGAAAAATATCTGCCTTAAAGTTTTTTGTACTCCTAGAAGTGTACGCAGTACCTCTTCACATAACAGAGCTTGGTAAGTGATAAGATGATTTCATGAGCAACTCAGTTTATAAACTTTGTTAAATGTGCTGCTGTCAATTTCTGTAAAGTTTCTAGAGTTCTGAGAGTTTCGTTTCGTGACCTTTTATATTACTACATTTATCATTCATGTATCAACTCACTCTGCATCTCAGCTCCATAATAACATTGGTTTCTTACATCACTGCATCGCAGTTTGTTGTTGTTGATGTTACTGTTGTTTGGAGACAGAGCCTTGCTCGGTCGCCAGGCTGGAGTGCAGTGGCAAGATCTCAGCTCACCGCAACCTCTGCCTCCGAGGCTCAAGCAATTCTCCTGCCTCAGCCTCCTGAGTAGTTTGGGCTACAGGTGTGCGCCACCACACCCCGGTGAGTTTTATATTTTTAGTAGAGATGGGGTTTCACCATGTTGGCCAAGCTGACCTCAAGTGATCTGTCTGCCTTGCCCTCTCAAAATGCTGGGATTACAGGCATGAGCCACTGTACCTGGCCTCTAATGCAGATTTAATAGCAGAGTTTTGCCATGACATGCTCTTGGTGGTGATGACTTTTACTATCTTGAATTAGGATTTCAAAAAAATGTCGCATTAAAATAGATTTTAGCTGGCCCAACAGGTCATTTCTACCTGGATAAGGAAACTTCATTCAATCTTCTCTTACCAAATATACTAAAAATTATGCAAAAGTACCACAATCCTACAGAACACAAGATTAGTTTAACTAGTTTTCAACCTTACCTAGCACTCTTTCATTCTAACCTGTTTTTATTAGAATAAAATGCTATCTTGCAGAGGGACAGACTAATGGAATAGTTTATATATCTATAAAGGGAAGTTTATGAAGTATTAACTCACATGATCACAAGGTCCCACAACAGGCCATGTGCAAGCTGAGGAGCAAGGAGAGCCAGTCTAAGTTCCAAAACTGAAGAACTTGGAGTCTGATGCTTGAGGGCAGAAAGCATCCAGTGCAGGAGAAAGATATAGGCTGGGAGGCTAGGCCAGTCTCTCTTTTCACATTTTTCCACCTGCTTATATTCTCACCGTGCTGGCAGCTGATTAGATTGTGCCCACTCAGATTAAGTGTGGGTCTGCCTTTCCCAGCTCACTTCCTCAAATGCTAATCTCTTTTGGCAACACCCTCACAGATACACCCAGGATCACTAGTTTGTATCCTTCAATCCAATCAAGTTGACAGTATTAACCATCACACCTGCCAACATAAGTAACACAGGTGCTCTGAGTTTTCAAATTATGAAAATTAGTCGTCAAGTTCACTAGGATTTCTCAGTTAGGGTCTCACAGCCCACACTTTGAAAACCACTGCCCTATGCCATGAGGAGAATAGAGGCTCCAACCTGCTCCCCGTTGTAACATGTAAGTACTTAGAACTTACAATGTTATTTACCCAATCCTCACTACCCTGCAAGATGGGTACTACTGTATTGTCCCCCCCTTGACAGGTAAATAAATTGAATCATAGAGAATGTAAAAACTTGCTGATAGTCATATGGCTAACTGGCAGAATACCTCACCCTAGGCAGTTAGCTTCTGAACCCACGTGCTTAACTCTCTCACAAGAGATTATTCCTAAAAGTACTCCTGGAAGAGAGCCCCTTGCGAGGGGGCAGGTGGGAGCCACTGCTCTCTTCCTGAAGTCCACAGACAGAGCAAGAACAGCACTTGAGACCAGCCATGTAGACCAAATACCCGATGCAAATCTCAAATATCAAAATGAGACTGTTTTAGTAGCTGCAAAGTTACCACCTCTAGCCAACATGCCCTCAGCTGGAAAGGGAATTTCACCATTGCTGAGTTAGGGCAGTTTTTTGGAGGAAAAAAGACAATTTTATGTGTTTTTTTTTTTTTTTTTTTTTTTTTTGCCATGAGATTTCACACTGAGTCTGGGAACCATTCGTTCTCTTTTGAGATGATTTATCCTATCCATTATCTGTTGAGCAGGCAGGGGGCATTCTTTCTAATTCATTTCCAAATACTAAGGGCAATGATGACTTCTCTCTAGTCTCCAAATACAGACAATTAATTCTACCAATGACAAATTAGAAAAGGCACCACCAAGTGAATGACCCTTGAGCTGAGTGTTAGTTAGCTGACCGGCTGAGACAGATCTCAAGATTTGAGCTTGGAAACAGTTTGAGCAGTTTGGCCCTGTACGAGGTCATCCTAGACCCAGACAGTATGAAGAAGGCCAAGATAGCTACTAGCCTCTCCTGGGCTTCCCAGTCCCTACTATGGCTCCCTCAGTCAAATTACAAGACCTCTAAGGTCACAGGACCACTGAGTTCTATGATATCATAAGCAACTGACTGCTCTAGTCACTTCATATTCTCATTTAAGACCCTCTCAATTGTCAACCTAAATGACAGAGGTTCCCAAGAGGAAAAGATGTTTATTTGAGAATAGAACATTGCAACATGCATGCCATAATAAACTAAGCGTGTAGTCAGGGAGGTAAAGGAAGACAAAGGTTTTTAAAAGAAAAAGGAGGAAGATTACGTATTTGTCTTTTAAATGATTATCCTTAGCCACAAAGATCAATAACAAGAGTGAAGCCAGTCTGAGGTTAGCCAGGCTGTTGCTGAGCAGATGTCCTTGTGGAAGTACTTTTCGTGTAAGGTTATGGCTGTTATGGAGTCTTTTCCATTTTCAAGCATACAAGTGTCAGGACTATCCTTTCATAGCCTTTCCCAGCTCTGTTTGTCAGACTTTTCTTAACTTTCATGACTCTATTTTGATTCTGATCAAAATGATATAATTACACAAAAATATATTCCGAACACAACTTATCTTTGGTCATCCTGCTAAAACGAATTTTCTTCCTGATTCCCACACAAGTAATTGTGCTTTTTGGCACAGTTGGCACTTACAGTTTTGGTTCTCTTTTCCTCTTTTCTTACTCTATTTTTCATTATATTGCCTTTTAAACTGCAGTCTTAGAGTAAACTCACTAAGAAAAAAAAAAGAAGGAAAATTTACCTTCCTAAAAGGCAGAAGCTGGCTAGAGAAGGAGCATGTCCAGGACAGGCACTGTGGCTCACACTTATAATCCCAGCACTTTGGGAGGCCCAGGTGGGTGGATCGTCTGAGGTCAGGAGTTCAAGACCAGCCTGACCAACATGAAGAAACCCCGTCTCTACTAAAAATACAAAATTGCCTGGGCATGGTGGCACATGCCTGTAATCCCAGCTACCTGGGAGGCTGAGGCAGGAGAATCACTTGAACCTGGGAGAGGGAGGTTGCTGTGAGCCAAGATGGCACCCATTGAACTCCAGCCTGAACAACAAGAGCAAAACTCCATCTCAAAAAAAAAGAACAAAAAAACAAGAAGGAGCATGTCCAGTAACTTTCTTTGGTGACATTATAGGGGAGGGAAACAAAATTCAGACAAAGTCCTTGGTAGAAGTTTATTCTGGGCCCTACTTCCACATTTTAACTTAAAGACAAAGCATTTCATTTCCAGAATGTATTACTGTCTTGAATAGGAGAGTAAGTTAAAAAAGAACGAGTTAAAAAAAAAGCAGATACTTAAGAAAACGATTTCAGTTTTACTTGGGGAAGAAAAAAAAAATCCCTGTAAAATCTCTTACCTTAAAATGATACTGACTCCAGCTAAGTTTTGGCTAAACAGTACTGCCTAGTATACAGCTGACCCCTGAAAACCATGAGTTTGAACTATGTGGCTCCATAGAGGGAATGTCTTTCATCTCTGTCACCCTTGAGAGAGCAAGAGCAACCCCTACGCTTCCTTTTCTTCCTCCTCTTCCTCAGCCTACTCAATATGAAGACAAGGATGAATAACATTATGACTGACTTACATTTAATGAATGGTGAATATATTTTCTCTTCCTTATGACTTTCTTAATGTTTCTTAATAACATTTCTTTCCTCTATCTTATTTTATTGCAATCATACAGTATATAATACATATAACATAAAAAATATGCGCTAATCAACTGTTTATGTCATCAGTAAGGATTCTGGTCAACTGTAGGCTCTCAGTAGTTACGTTACTGGGGAGTCAAAAGTTATACACATTGTCCTGTATGCGCAGAGGACAATGCTCCTGACCCCCAAGTTATTCAAGGCTCAACTGTAGTTCATAACACAAGATTTCTCAGAGCCTTTGTACTTTCTGCTTACCCTCTCTGGCAGAGTCTCCTCCTAAGACATCCTATGGTTCATCCCTCTGCTCAAATGCCCCTGGCCTGAAAGGCCCGCCCTGGCCATTCCATCTAAAAGAGCAACCCTGCCAAGACCCCACCCACTCCCAGCTCTCCCTGTTGTCTTTTATTTTTCCCTGATTGATTTCTCTCCATAGCAGTGATTACCTGAGTGATATCATTTTTATTATCATCATTGATTTGTTTGTTTTCTCCCACCAGAACATAACCTCCACAATAAATGTCTGTTTTGTTTCTTGCAACAGTGAACTGTCCCTAAGTAGGTAGCAGCCATCCAGGAAATTTGTTACACCAAGGTGAGAGGATCCCTTGGGCCCAGTAGTTTGAGCCTGCAGTGAGCAGGCTCCACTACTACACTCCAACCTGAGTGACAGAGCTGTCTTTAAAAAGAAAAAAATTGTTAATGAAAAATGAATGCATATCATTTTCAAAGTTTTTTTAAAATTCCTAAGTTTTTGGCCAGGCACAGTGACTCACATCTGTAATCCCAGTACTTTGGGAGGCTGAGGTGAGTGGATCACTTGAGACCAGGAGTTCAAGACCAGCCTGGCCAACATGGTGGAAACCCATTTCTCCTAAAAAAAAAAAAAATACAAAAATAAGTGGTGGTGTGTGCCTGTAGTCCAAGCTACTCGAGAGACTGAGGCATGAGAATCACCTGAATCCCAAAGGCAGAATATGCAGTGAGCCAAGATCGCATGACTGCACTCCAGCCTGGGCGACAGAGCAAGTGAGACTCTATCTCAAACAAACAAACAAACAAAAAAACAAGTTTTAAAAATTATGCACTAAGATTATTTTTCTTCTCATGGATTACTTGACATATAATAATACAGCTATTTGGACTAAAAATCCTGAGACTTAAGTCTCTTAGCTCTGCCACTAATTTCTTGTATAACTTGGTTAGACCATTTCTCAGTTTTCCCTTGTGCTACTGACATTCTACAGCTTGCAGCCACGACTAAAATCCAACAGAAAAACAGATTACATACATAAAGATTTCTCTGTGCATGTCACCTTTAATGACTTATGTATGGCATAAAATAAGGACTATAAGAGCTACTTTTCAAGAGGGTGATCTAAGATATACTCTATTAATATTCTCTAGCCAGGATCTAATCTGGAAGGTTCAGACTTTTAAATTGCTGACCTCAAAAACACCTGCTATTTTCAGAAACTTACAAAATACAGAGATGTTAACCCATTTCCACGTTTAAGCCGTAGTGCTTTGCCCTTTATTCTACTTTCAAACTTGCTACCATTCATTATCTCCATTTCTACAATATCACAAATCTCATGGCATATAATGCTTTGTGAAAAGTGTTTATTATTTACATTCTTATATCACCAAAATCTAGACTTTTTTCCAGATGCACTTGGAAAATTGTTCAAAATAGATTACATTACCCACTGGAGCTAAAGATCAGGGAAAAATCAATATGGGATGTTGATGAATAACGTCTGAGTCTGTTATGGAAAGATCGTATTTAATTAAATGAGACGACGTATACAGTGATTTGGAGATGAGGAAAACAGTGTTTAATATGTTAGCTAACAATTACTATATTTAAAGAATCTCTGAGATGATAATTTTGAGAATTCACCCTAGTTCATCTAGGACTCTCCATTTAGTACTTAAGGAGAAAAGTCTCATTTTCCAGAATCGAATAAAGATAATTAATCACACAATTGTGTAGAATGGATTTCAGTGTGTATTCAAAGCAAGATCAACGTGCTTTTTAATAGTCTAACACCTCCAGGTAGTAATTGCAAGTATCGTACCCATGAAGTCCAGATAATTAATCTGTCCAGCAACGCACTGTTAAAAGTCAGGTGGGCTCCAAAACAGTCCTAACCAGCATGCTCTACTGCCTCCTCTAAGGCAACAGCTGAAGGGCAGACCTCTAGGATAAAAAGCTGTCGAGCCTTCCCCATTCCTAAATTATCCCAACTGACCCCAAAGCCTCTCTGGGATTCTAATCTCTGCGCACCCTGCAGCCCACCCCGAGTTCCCGGCATCCTCTGGGTTCCCCCTTCCTGGCGCCAAAACGCTGCGCAGGCTCCTTTCCTCCAGGCTGGTTGCTAGGTGATCTCCGAGGGCGGTCCGAAGTCTCAAGAGGGCAAACCAGTTGAGGGGCGGGGCTGGGGCTGCAGAACTCAGGCAGTGAGGTTCCTTTTAGTGGCTGGGTCCTGCGTCCTCCGTGAGATCCCAAGATATTCTTATCGCACGGAAACGACTACTGGCCTGGCCAGAGGACTCGGGGCGTGAGCGAGGTGCTAGCCCCAACGGGACAATAGGACGGTGAGGTACGGAGAAGGAAAGCGAGCGCGCCCCGGAAAATGAGCGCCTCCCCACACCGTGGTGTCCAGGAGTGAGTGCCAGAGGGAACTCGGCTGCGGGGAGTTGTGGCCTTATCGTGCTTCCCGCCAAGAACTTGGTACTGTTGGGACACGGCTGAGCGTGCACACGCCCGCATCTGCTCCTCCTCTGCAGTGGAAGACACCCGCGGAGTGTGACTGAATACGGGCTCTCTCCTGAGGCCAGAGTATCCCCAGCAGGTCAGCACTTTGTGTGCCCCGTGTGCGCCTGTAAGGAGTGAGATTTAGGCCAGTCCGGTTTTCCAAATGCGGAGTCGTGATGCCCAGGCAAAAACTTCAGTCTCTTAGGACTGAGGGTGTCATCTGTGGGACAGTCAGCTCCGTGGCATTGGCAGTGATTTGCAGTCCACGCTCCAACACAGGCTTTCTTTAGAGAGGGGTGTAAACCAGTAGATTTGAAATTGTCAAGTACTTTGGTCCCTCAAGAACGATGGAAACTTGACAAGAAATTTCCATTATTCCCTTGTCTTATTAACCACATGGGAAGATACTTGCATAGAAGGGGAATGGTCATCACCAATACAACCTTCTGGTGGCTATTGAGATTTCTAAGAGTGAGAATAATATAAACGAATATTAGAACGGACAGTATCTACAGAATAATATTAATCAAAATGTAAAGTCTCGTCACTTGAAATTTTGGTCAGTTGAAAATTAAGGCGAAAACTTAAAATGACATTGCTACATTTCACTAAGTGACTATTAATTCATTATGTTTGAATGCCTCAGGATCATTCTGAACTTGCTCTGTAGTATTTAATTGTAAATATAAGAGAATGTGAATGATTTGGCTGTATAGTCTGGGAATTCCTTTTAATTAAATTATTTACCTGATTTGTCTTTTATTGTGATTGTCTCATAATCACGGAAAATTCCTTTAAATCTTTGAAATTGAACGTTTCATTAGTTGTATTCTAAGTAGTTTTTAGAGAAGACTGTTGTGACTGTTTAAAAAAACCCGTCTCTACTAAAAATACAAAAAAAAAAAAAAAAAAAAATAGCCGGGCGTGGTGGCAGGCGCCTGTAATCCCAGCTACTTGGGAGGCTGCAGCAGGGGAATCGCTTGAACCCAGGAGGCGGAGGTTGCAGTGAGCTGAGATTGTGCCATTGCACTCTAACCTGGGAGACAGAGCGAGACTCCATCTCAAAAAAAATAAATAAATTAAATTAAATGCAATTGAATTTATTTTTGAGTACTCATTTAATATAGTAAACACCTACAGCTTGAAAAGTTGTCAAATAAGTTCCTTAGAAATTGTTTTACAGCCTACCCGTTATATTACAAGAAATCTCACTTCAAACACTGGAAGAGATGTCAGAAGATTCAGAAAAAGAAGACTATTCGGACGGAACAATCAGTGATGAAGATGAATCGGTATGTTTTTCTCAACTTTATTTTACTTGGAGATAAAATTTGTATCATATAAACCCCAATTAAAATATTATAAAATCAGTTGGATGTTTAAATTATTGTCATTAAAGTTGGGAAATAATTTGGCTGAAAAAGCTAAGCTATCACTGGGAACACTGTGCCCTGTCTAGAAAGAAAAACTATGTTTGTATTTTTTTTTTGAGAAAATATTTTAGCTAAGATTCTTCTAGATGTTATTAAAATTCATGTATGAAATTATGAGTAGGGTTTTATTTTTAGGATTGATGTCCACTTATTTTCTTATATGTGCTGATTCCACTGTGTTACACTGTAATATGTATCATAGAACCACCATGTTCTAACCTTATTTTGTATCAATGTAACAATTTTAATGTGGCTCTGATGTCATAAAGGAATGGACTTGGAAGAAGAAAAAAGGAGAGAAACGTAGTATTTAAAATTCTCTAGTCTGTTTCTACTACATATACTGAGAGATTTCCTTCAAAGTTTATTAAAGTATAAATTATGTATGTAAGTTAATGTCCCAAAATAAGCTCTTAAAGCTTACTTTAGCTACTTAAAGCCACTTAAAGGATTTATGACTTTCTGTGGGGGGTTTTTGTTGTTAATTTTATTTATTTATTTATTTTGAGACGGAGTTTTGCTCTTGTTGCCCAAGCTGGAGCGCAATGGCGCAATCTCGGTTCACTGCAACCTCTGCCTCCTGGGTTCAAATGATTCACTTGCCTCAGCCTCCTGAGTAGTTGGGATTACAGGCATGTGCCACCACACCCAACTCAATTTTTTGCATTTTTAGTAGAAATGGGGTTTCACCATGTTAGCCAGGCTGGTCGCGAACTCCTGACCTCAGGTGATCTGCCTGCCTCAGCCTTCCAAAGTACTGGGATTACAGGTGTGAGCCACCGCACCTGGCCTATTTTATTCTTAATTTAAATTGTTTTCCTAGGTTTACCAAGAATCTTTAAATTTTATTCCTTCCATAGATTTATTATGATGACCACAGCCAGTGAAAAAGGAGGAATAAAAGATGCAAACTTTAAGGTTCAGGGTATTTGAAGTGTTGGGTGCTTCAACACTTCAAATATCCTGAATATTGGCTAAAGCCAATAATAATTCTCTAATTTTCTCATTTATTAAAGGTTAAAGACATACACTCAATCCCAAGTACTAAAATAGATGTAAAACAATTTCTGGATTTGAAAACTTGGATTTTAAAAGAGAAATATTTTTAAATTCTTATTTTAGGATGAGGATATGTTCATGAAATTTGTAAATGAAGATCTTCATCAGTGTGCACTTTTAACAGGTTTGAACTTTTTCATGTAGTTTTTTTTTTTTTTAGCATAAAACCTTGAGTGGATAAAAAGTAAGATGAGGAAACTGAAGAGTCAGATTGAATAATATAGGGAATGATTCTAGTAGATTGTGAGAGAGAAATGTATTCACTGCAGAGTCCAAACTTCTCAGGTTTGTTTTAGGTAAACCTATTTTATATTAGAAAATAATATGTGAAAGTGGTGATTCTCTTATATTTAACATAAGGATTGTCATTTATTTAAATACATTTACTGTATGACTCAAGTTATAAAGGACAGATTATGTTAGAAGTACATCTTCATTTAAATGAAGTACATTGTCTCAAGAATCTCCTTAATAAAGTCATTCATTTGCAACTGAACATGTGTGTGGGCACCTTGATGTATACTTAATTTTTAAACATTTATAGAGTTGTACTTTCAAATGCTAAAATATCTCTACTAAATGTTTACATAGGTATCACAAATACTCTGAAATTGAAGTTAAGGCCTTTATCTTTTTTTTTCTTTTGTCTTTTACCACCATCCTAAAATAAATCTTCCTCTTTGAGATCACCACCATTCTGAGTTTGGTGTGTATCATCCTAGAACTTCTTCTTTGCATATACACATATCTATACCCATAGACAGACATTTTATAATACTGTTTTATAGATTTTTCCCTGCTTCCCTCTTCTGTTTTTAAAATTTTGCCAAGCTATTGGAAGACAGGTGATAACTCACTGCTTTAACTAGCATTTCTAGGATTGCTAGAGAAGTTAAGAATTACCTCCACAGGCTTATTATCTATTCATATTCATAGGTGGTATGAATTGCCCATTTATAGTAATCCCTTTATGTTGCTTCCTTTGTTTAGAATATTACCAAAAGCAAGATAAAACATTTAATCACCCCTAAATGTTCCTGTGTCTCTGCAGCAGATCCTCTCTTTCCAGGCTTCACCCCTGGCTCCAGGCAACCAGTGATTTGCTTTCCCTCCCCTATATTTGACTTTCCTAGAATTTCACAAAACAGAATCATACATTTTGTGTTTTCTGTCTTCTTTCACTAAGCATAATACTCTTGAGATTGATCCATATTGTTGCATATGTTGGTTGTTCCTTTTTATTGTTGAGAGGTATTTCGTTATGTGAATAGACCACAATTTCTCCATTTAGCCATCCATTCATGCACATTTAAATTGTTACCAGCTTTAGGCTGTAACAAATAAAGCTCCTGTGAACCTTTTGTACAAGTCCTTGTGTGAATATGTTTTTATTTCTCTTGGGTAAGTCCCTAGGAACAGTATTGTTGGGTTATATGCTAAATATATACTGTCTGAGAAACTGCGAATCTGTTTTCCCAAGTGGCTATATCCCTTTGCATTCCCAGCAGTGGTTATTTCTTTGCCAAGAATTCTTACCTTTTAATTCAGTACAAGTGAGCTTTTCCTTTACCTCATGGAGTATAATTGTAATGACTCCTTTAAAGTTCTTGTCTGATAGTTTTAGTATCTGAGTTATCTTGATGTTGACATTTGTTGATTGCCTTTTGCCCTGAGAACTGGTCCTATTCCTGGTTTTCCATTATTCATGCTATGTTGTGTAGAGTCTGGGCCCTTTTGGACAAGGTCAATATATTTCTTCTAGCAGGCAATCAATCCAGTTAGGTTTAAGTGGTAAGTTTTGTCACTCCTTCTGTGGATAGTAATTCAGATCTCAGTTCTGATCTGTAAGCCTTTGCTATGCTTATTTGGTTCTCTCCCATGCCAGCGTAGTTCAGGGATTTTGAGACTTTATAGATGTTTCAAATCTCCGTTTGGTTCTCTTAAGCTTTCCTTGTGTTGGTTTGGGACTATCTTGCACATGTGCAATTCAGGGGTTGAGCTAAGATGTGTGTGTGGGTGGGGGGGTTAAAGTTTCAGTTAAGTTTTCATGGTCTCTAAGAATGTGTCTGCTTATATAGCTCAGGGATTTGGCTGAGACTTGTGTAGGCTTATATACAGGATTAGGAGATACCTTTCTGTGATTTCCTTCTTCCCTTCAGATTCCCTGCACAGTCTAAAGACCCCTTTTCCTGGTTCTTCTGCTGGATGAATGAGCCATAGAACAATCCTGATAAGTAGCTAGGGAAGATGATATTATTAGTTATTGACCTGTAGTAAGATTTAAGTTCCGAGAGGCTGCCTTGCCCAAACAAAGTCATACAGTAACAAAGTGGCAAAAGGGAAGGAACCCAGTTATCTGATTCTAGTCCAGTTGCTGTATCTGCTGTTGTATAAAAATAACCAAGAACTAAATCTCAGCAAAAAGCCACATTTCAAAGGTGAAAAAGCAAGAGGAGTCAGGGAGACAAATGAAAAACCAAATATGTAAAAGAGTGGTGGAAACCCAGGAAATGTATCATAAAAGAAGAGAAGTATGCTTAAGGAGGGGCGATCATCAATATCAACTGATGCCGTAGTATCACAACAAAAGACCAGGCCACTACACACAGTCTGCTTGGCATAGCCCTATACGAGTCTATGTGAATTGTGTTCCTGGCATTGTATCACACAGTAGGTCTAGAAGGAGAACGGAGAAAAAGTTGTGACTGAGTTCACTAGCAAAACTTGAGAATACAGTTCCAGTAAGTAGTGAGTTATAGTTCAACACTGTGTTTAACTCATTAGACAAAAAATAGTATGACTAAGTTTAAGAAGAGTCAAAGTAGATGATTTGCTAGAAAAGCAGCAAGAAACAAATGTTTTTAAAGTAGTAGTGAGCTTTTAGAATAAATGAATAGTCTAAAGGTCAACAACTCTTTTTTAGCTATTGTGAAGATCAATCATCACAAAATTTCATTAGTACTTTTATAAAAAGTGCCATGAATTATAAAACATTTATGAAGATATCCACACATCAAATAGTGTTGAAAGGGAAAAAGGAACTATATAAAAATTGTAGAAATTGGGGTTTTTCTTCTTCCCACTCATGATTGTGTTTAAATCTTTTTCTCAGCCAACTCTTTTGGTGATCCCTTCTTCCCCCGGACTACACAGATACTATTAGAATATCAGCTAGGGAGATGGGTGCCACGTCTTCGTGAACCACGGGATTTATACGGTGTCTCTTCTTCTGGTCCACTGAGCCCAACACGGTGGCCATACCATTGTGAAGTCATCGATGAAAAAGTCCAGCATATTGGTATGTTTGTAGCAGTTTGGGAGATTCAGACATTAGCAAACTTTGCCAACCTTGATTTTAATAAGGAGTCTCGCAATGTTGGAAAACAGTACATTCTGACAGAAATATAACATAAGCCACATATGTAATTATAAATTTGCTTGTAACCACATTTAAAGAGGTAAAAAGAAAATGAAATTAACTTTAAAAATACATTTTATTTAACCCAAATATATCCAAAATATTTCACATTCTTTCTGTATAAGAATGTGAAATATTTTTTGTCCAAAGTCTTCAGAAATCTGGCGTCCTTTTATATTTACAGACATCTGAGTTGAAATCAGTCACATTCCAAGTGTTCAGTAGCCACATGGGCTTAAATGGAGGCACTTACAGCATTTGCTTGGCTCCTGAAGCTTTATTAATTCTAAACAATTCCAAAGGGCATGACAGTGTCCAAGGCAGTCAAACTCAGACACAGAGTGAAGTCACAGATGGAGGCTATGCCAGAATGTCTGTGAGCTGTAGTCCTGCTCTTTGTGGCTCCCTGTCTCTTTCTCCTTATTTCCTCCTATGTCTGTCTTCTCCTTAGTGTGTCTTTATCTTCTTTTACCTCCTTCTGCCTTTTTCCTTTTTCCATTTCTTTTCTTTCATTTTCTCTTACTGCTCCTTTGTCTTGTTCCTACTTCCTACTTTGTCCTTTAATGGATGTTTATGGAACTGAAGAGTGTATATTTTCATATATAGATATTAATGTTTCTGTATGTGTGTGTTTCCAAATGTTTTTTTTTGCTTTCCCAGGTAAAGCTTATAGCCTCCTCTCTCCAATCCATGCACAGGCATGACAAATATCCCACTGTCCACCATCTTTCACTGCCATGACTTTCCACCTTTTGTTGATTGAGGCACATAAACATATGGTATTGCCTGGTAGAGATCTTACAGGCCTTCATTGGTGAATAAAATAACTACACATACATACTTTTTATAACTATACACTTATTGCAGTGCCTACTGGGAGTTCTTAAAAACTAAATTTTCTTCATATATTATCTGGCATATAGATAGATAGTTATGGGGAGAAAGGAGAGGGAGTGGAGAAAGAAAGAACACGTTTTTGTTCATAGAGGACAAAGTTAATTTTCCTCAAGAATTCCAAAGTTATAGGGTTAAAAATATACTAAAGAATTAATGCTTAATAGTACTTAACAGCGTCATGTATTTACACAGATCTCTTCAAAACTGAGTATATATTTATCTTCTCCAGTATAGGGCATCCCTTTCTCTCCCTTTTTCTCCTTTCAGTCCATCTGCCATCATTCCCACCACTCCTCTGCTACCACCCACTCTAACCTCATTTTGCTACAGCACCAGGGCAGGAAATTAAAAAGTCAAGCAGAGAAAACACTGCCATGCTACTGAATTGGAACCTTCCCCCAAGCCTTTCTTTTTGTACTTTGGTTCTGTTTCCCAGCCTCCTCATGACATCCGTGGCAGAAGGAATGAATAAGGAACAATAAAGGAAAATCCCTACTGCTCCTACTGTGACTTCTCCCTAATTTCTCTCCAGTAGCAGTGATGAGAGACTGAGAGCAGAAGAGACCCAAAAGGAAGAGGAAAGCAACACCCATCCTGCCACTGCTTCTTAGTGTCACTTCCAGCCCCATGTACTCGTTCCACTCAGCTAAGTTCCACCTCATCTAACTAGAAAACCCTTCTGTCACATCCTTGCCACATCTTTCTGTTCCTTACATTTCCCAGCCCTCACTTTCAGCCTTCATTTTGCCCTCTGTCATAGGAGTCACCATCAGAAGTTCAGAGTGGGGAGAGTTTCTACTCTCCTTGTTTGCCTGGTAATCCCCCCGTTTCTCTTGAGGTTCTTCCAGATGAGGGCAGCTGCGTTTCTAGCCTCTTCTATTGAAATTATAAATATATTTTCTAACCAACAATACTGTTTTAAGAGTGGCTAGAGTTTATGGTGCTATCTTTCAGATACCTTATATAATAAATAGTCTTTGCGTTCTGCGAACCCAGCCTCCATTCTGGTGAAGGTGCAGTCACCACACAGTACCGGTGCAGATGCAGCCTCCGTAAGCATACGTTTCCCAAGATCCCCAGAGTCATGACGTCACACAGCTATCGGTGACACTACCTGTGCAAGATAGAGTCAGACTGGATAAAAGCTTCATTGGGGGTTATCCCACTGCTCATTTATTTTCAGTCTGTGTCCCTGAAGTTTTTGCAAATTCCACCGGTCCTTAAGCCAACTGGAACACCCACTGCAATACATCCCTGTGTAGGAGAATCAGAATCTTCTCCCACCTGTCCTTGATGGCTCTTTCCACTTTGCTTGCTAGCATTTCAGAAAGCTTACTTCCCATTGTCTTACATATTGTTGTAGACCTTGCTTTTGTCACCTGACTATTGCAAAGATTTTATAAATTTAGATATTTGAAAGGACTTGTAAGACTCCACAGAGCATTCTTATGTGTGGCTTTTATTTAAAGGCAGAGGATACGGTGCAGCGAGAGAAAGATACCATGGTAAACATGAGAGCCCACGTGCTAGCTTTCCAGGGGCCTTATTCACACATAGACTACCTGTGTTCAGATTGAAACACTAAGATCTATGTGATTCATCTTAGCTTCAGAAGACCTCAAGGCAAAAGTTCCCATCTGGGTTTTTAGGCCCCTATAGTCCTGTCATCAAATCAGGCTGTCTTCCTGATTCTGCCAAATGAAAACCATCAGTAAACAAACTGGCCATGATAACTGGGTTATCAAGGGGAGTTTCAGACTCCTTGTTAACAGTGTATCATTAATCTTACTGTTCTTATCTTGGCCAAGAGTCCAAGCTGGACAGCCAGAATTCCCCAGAGGTAAAAACAGCTTTTCCAGTTCAGCTATAAATTAACTCTGTCTTACACAGCCGTCTATCTTGAAAGTCTTTCCGTATCAGTTTACATATATTAATCTTTTTATAAACTGGTATGTCAGATTTCATTAAATGGATGAATCAGAATTTCCCTAACTGGTACCTTATTGATAAATTTTAGGTGTTTCCAATCATTGGTTCTGACAGAACTGCATAAATATCCTTTTATGTGTGGCCTAATGCACATATACATATATATTTTAGGTATAAGAATTTCTATCCTAGAATTTCTGGTATAAGGATACTGTCAAATTTTCATCCAAAAAGAGTTGCACTAACTTATAGTCATAAAAGCAAACAGTTTATGACTATGGTCAGGGGTCCTCAAGATAACTCACATTCCACGATTTGCTACAAGGACTCGCAGAACTCAGAGAAGCCATTATACTCATGGTTATGGTTTATTACACTGAAAGGACACAGATTAAAATTAGCAAAAATAAATGGCGTATAGCAGCGGTCCCCAACCATTTTGGCACCAGGGACCAGTTTCAGGGAAGACAATTTTTCCACAGATGTGGGGGGATGGTTTTGGAATGAAACCGTCCCACTTCAGAGCATCAGGCATTAGATTCTCATGAGCAGCGCACAACCTAGATGCCTTGCACACACACAATAGGGCTTGCGCTGCTATGAGAATCTAATGTTGCCGCTGATATGACTGGAGGCAGAGCTCAGGTGATAATGCTCGCTCACCCACTGCTCACCTGCTGCTGTGTAGCCTGGTTTCTAACAGGCCACAGACCAGTAGTAGTCCATGGCCTTGGGGTTGGGGACTCTTGCTTTGCAGCAGTGTCCAGATGAGACCAAGCACAAGCTTCCAGTTGTTTTCTCCCTATGGAGTCTTAATTAACAGCACTTAATTCTCCCTGCCATAACCTGAGATAATATGAAATACTGCTAATCATCCAACTTTGGTGTCACTGGTTCCTACTGCAGATTGGTTATATCTACATGCAGTGCCCACATGGCTGACCTCAGTTACTTAGTCTCTGGACTTTCCAGGGGTCAAAATTGATAGTGTGTGTCCAAGGCCTCTACCACTACCACCACAATAAATCAATTGTTAGCATAAACTATCTCACATAGCCCAAGGTCCCAGGTAGACAAAGATACTCTCATGAGGCAAGGTATTCCGAGGCCTCAGAGGTTATCTCCCAGAAGTTTAGCAAGGTCCAGACCATTCTTTACAATGTACAGCATTTGGACAACCCAGGCCTGCTGAGTTAATCATTTACACACAGGCCACCCGTGGTCACTTGGCCTAGGCTCTCTTACAGCAAAACTATCATATATGTCTAAGCATCTACATTTAGTATAGCATTCTTATAAAAGACATAGTGATAGTGTCAATATGATGCCTAAAATTTTGAGGAGCAAGTGTGGGGTAGGAATAGATTTAGTGAAACAACTAATCAGTCCTATAAAGCCATTAGACCTTTTCATAGTTTTTAACTAGTATGATTATCTCCTATTTTAATATTCTGCTATTTATACCTTTTGACAAACTTATACATACATACTCAGCATAGAAATTAACTCATAATTAAGTAGATCCAGTTCTTACTCAGCCCACTTTTCATTGATATTACATATCAATCATGCTGTGATTCAATTTTCCAATACATTTGATCATCGTCATATGACTTACTTACATAAGGAAGAAGAATCATACCAACAATGCCCGTGTTATACTGTATCTGCAGTATTGTAGTAGATGTAACCTGAAAAATAAGAATCAAAAGATAACGGCCTGTTACTAGAGTTCCACTGTGGTATTAACAATTAATTGGTCCAGTTCATCATTATATCATATGACCAGAATGTCTCCCAGAGCAATGCCACTCAAGTTCACAGGCTTCCATTCAGCCTTTTCAGGTTCTAAGAGCAGGGCTGGCCTTAGAAAACTGACTTCACCTTTTTGGGCATCTAGTAAAATGAAGCTAAGAGACAACTGTCATCTTGCTCTGAGCCTCTCTCAAAGCACCAATGTAATACTAACTTTTCCTCATTACCTAATCCATTTATTTATTCCATGCCTTGGCTATTTCTCCTATTTTTCACTTGTCACAATTTTTTACCCAAACATTTCCACCTTTGAAAGAGTTGTTAGGCTTAGCTACTGTGCTGGTGTAGATTGCCAGCAGTATTACCAGTCTAGCTCGTGCCTCCTTTCAGCTCATTTCCCTTTATATACAGTAAGGATATGTAGGTATAGAACTAGTGGGCTACCTTGACCACCAGACAATACAGCTGCATTCACTGTCAATCCAAATTTTGCCAGATGGGGTGAAGACACAGTCTACCCCATTATGCCTACAGCAATTCTAACATAAAGCTTTAAATAAGTTTCCTGCTTAGGAATCATTCCTGTTTCTAGACCTGCAGTCTCCAACCACTGCCCCAATTTGGAAAAAAAAGAAAGTTGAGATGATGTGGGAAATCACTTTGTAGTTTGTACCAGTGTCCTCCTCCATCCCTTCTTCCCTAGATCCACCATAAAAGAATTTGTCAAGTGGAAACTCGCTCTCGTCCGCCCCATGTTGAATGTGCACACATACTCATGAAGGTATATATACAAACCCCTCCTGCCTTTATCATCCCCCATTTTAGACAATGTTTCAATTACCTTTTTCAATTCTCTAGTTAAACCACTAGTCCATTTTGATGTGATATCTTTTTGCCCATCTTAGACACTATGGGCTATGAAGTGTGTTTCTTGGTCTGAAGAAATATAACTTGATGGTCCAAATTGGCACAGTATCTTCTGTTTCAGTCCTTTCATAGTATTTTAAGCATTTGTACCCATGTACCTCTGGGGGTGCAAAGCCTAGTCCAAAGTAAATGTCTAGTCCTGTCAGGACTCTTTTATAGACTACTCTATAGGTAGTCTCCTGGGGCTACCACAGCATTCTGATGTTACTTATCAGCTGTGTGTGCCACCTTCTCCCTAGGAAATCTGCCCGTAGCCACCTGTGGTCTCTCTCTTGTAGTATTTATTTGTATTTTGTGCCTCAGAGAGAACAAGAGAAATATGCTAACAGTCAGCCTGTGCCTACATTTCTACATGTCTCTCATTTCCATTTATTTCATGGACCCACATGCCCACCTCAAGTAAGCACACCAAGTTTTCCACTTACTGGGTCCAGTCATCATCTGATCCTGAAAGAGGGTTCTTCTGCTGGGCATTGACATGTCCTACTTTAATTTGCCCCTAAATTCCCATGGTGATTTCCATAGGATGGTGCCCCATATGGGGCATCTAAGTTTTTAATTGCCCATCTATTTGACCATATGGCCAGCCATTGCCCCTGCCCAAATTTTGATTATTTTAAAATGGAACTTTTATACTTGTTCAGTTTTTTCATCACTGCATGGACAGCATATAGTTCAGCCTGAGCAGATGTTTTTACCTTCTTCGATCAGAACTTTTCCGTCATTGGATGTAGTACAATGGCATTCCAAACAGCATGTTGACTATCTACCTTGCAACTGCCTTACACTGTCCCAGTCACACTGTCCTGTATAAACCATTTCCATTTATTATGGAGCCCTTCTGGGCACTGCCTTATCAGAGTGTTCCTTTCACATCACAATGCTTTCACAAACGGGCATTTCAAGTTTCACGTTTATATGTCCTTCAGTATAATGGTTAATTTTATGTGTCAGCTTAACTGGACCACGGGATACCCAGGTACCTGGTAACACATTATTTCCAGATGTGCCTCTGAGGGTGTTTCTGGAACAGATTAGTATTTGAATTGGCAGATTCCTAAAGAAGATCCACCATCACCAGTGTAAGGAGGTGGGGCATTATCCAATCTATTGAGGGCCTGCCTGAATAGAACAAAAGGATGGAGGAAGGGTGAATTCTGTCTTCTTGAACTGCGATATTCATCATCTGCCCCCAGACATCAGAGCTTTTGTTCTCAGGCCTTTGGACTTGAACTGAATTACACCACCAGCTTTCCTAGTTCTACAGCTTGCACACAGATTATGAGACTTCTCAGTCTCCATAATTCTATGACAGTGTACATACACATATGTATATATTCACTAATATAATTCCTATAATACACACACACACACACACACACACACACACACACACACACAGCATTTGGGAACCAATTACTGACTTGCTATTGGACATTAGCAAGTCAGTAATTGGTTAGAAATTAGTTCTGACATTAGTAAAATGTCCAATAGCAAGTTAGTAATTGGTTCCCAAATGCTGCGTGTCTTACAGCTGCTTCTGAAAATGTTCTGGTCCAAATTCCAGTAGTCACTGCTTGATGGTGCTCACAGGCTTTTTCCATTAGCCCCAAACTCTGGTCCATACAGGGCTACTGTAGAGAAAATATGTTGGTACCAGCATCCCAGTTTCTGACATGTCATTGATTAAAGGTTAATCTCTTTTTGTGCATCAGGTATTTTATACTATTTCCAACTAAAATCTGTGGGCTTGGACAATTCTATGGGTTCCCATTTAGTGGCATATTTAGCAGGTATACTGGATAAAGGACAAGTTTACATGCCTTCAGTTTTAGAATATTAGATAGTCTATATAATCCCCAGTCAGATATAAAATACATCGCAATGCATTCAGGAAAAGGAGATACATTCAGTTCACATGAAGTTCATTTAAATAATTCAGTTTTAATCTCAACTTTTAATTTCATCAAACATTTCATGGCTAAGTCTCCCAAACTAACTGTAGTCAACATTAGGATTTCACCAACAGTTTTAAGAACCTCAGTGCATTGGTCTGCCATGTCAAAGAGTACTAGAAGAGCTTACTCTTCACTCACTGACCATCTTAACCACACCTGCTGATTCTTAACCAAACAAGGATCAGACTAAAGGATGCTGACTCTTTTCATTAGTCTTTATGAGACAATTGCCGCAGATGATTTGAGGTAACATTTTTCATTGTCCTTTTTGCCTTTCGGCTTTGTTAATTCCTCCAGACTAAGGTAAATAGAACAGATTTGTTTAAAGCTCTTCAAAGTTGGGATATACCAGGAGCTCCCATTGGTCTATGTAATTTCTAATAGTGCTTCATTAAGACCTTTTTGATCCTATCAGTGTCCAACCTGCTGGAATGAGTCCCTTGATTCTTCCTTTTGTCTTTCCCATTCTCTCTTGACTCATTTTATTTTAGCTGTCAGTTGTTTCAGCATGTTATCTGTCCCTTTGTTGGAAACCCTGAAGCTAGTGTCTGTAGCTTAGATCAGCTAAAATTCAAGCATGGCCCAGCATCAGAAATTGCCTCAATACTTTACTGTCATTTTAGCTGTTACACATAGTAACTGAGAGACTGTATATTTAGCATATTTCTTGTCATTTTGCATTTCCTTATGCATCCAGTGAGCCAATTCTTTGGGAGTTAGATTTATCATTTCTAAATTCCAGTGGTGACTTTTACTTCTAGTAACTGTTTGCAACACGGGCTACTTCACACCATGGGTTGCCCAAATCAAAGATTTGTCAACTCCCACCCTCTTATTCTTCCTTTTCCCAAACCATTCTTTTGCTGTATTTCAGTGAGTCAGGGTAATTCTAGTGAGTCCCACTTCTGACATCACCTATGATCAGGAGTTCCCAAGACTACCCTAAATAAAGTTCAATGATTCACTAAAAGGACTCGAGAAATTCAGAAAAACCATTACATTAATGGTTGTGGCTTATTACAGTGAAATGTTACAAACTAAAATCAACAGAATTGATTTAGGGTGGAGTCTAGGAAAGACTAGTTGTCTTCTCCCAGTGGAGCTTCATAGATAGCACTTACTTTTTCCAGCCATGATGAGAGCTAACACTCATGAAGTACTGCTAATCAGGGAAGCTCATCCAGCCTTGGTGTCCACAGTTTCTATTAGGGACCAGTTATGTCTGCAAGGAATGTCCATGTGGCCAGCCTTCATTATTCAGTTCCCAGCCTCTCCATCCAAAATTAATACAATGTGGCCCAGAGCCCTCCACCACAACTCACATTAGCATAACTATCTGATGTGACCCAAGGCCCCAAGTAGACAAAAAGACTCTGAACAGGCAGAATATTTCAGAGTCTTAGAGATTATCTCTCAGGAGTGGGTAAGGTCCAAATCTTTCTTTGGATGTACAGGGTTTGGACAACACAGGCCATCTGAGTTAATCCTGACTACACAATGAAAGTACCTGTTCTTCCATACTCTCATTAATGCTGTTAATCATCCATTCTAGATTTTAACAGTCTGATATTGTTTACTTGATATGTGTTTTTTGTTAATGTATTCTTTATGGATGAGACGAAACATTGTATCTACTGACTTTATATAAGCTGTCTGATAAAATCCTTTGCCCATTTTGCTATTTGTTGGACTTTTCTTCTTCTTGATCTGTAAGTGCTTTCTGTCTATGCAAGAGATTTGTTTACTGTGTCTTATATGCTGCATGCATTTTTTTTCTCAGTTTGTCATTTGCCTTTTGTCTTTGGCATGCATACATTTGTAATTTTTATGTAGTTATTTTGTCTATCATTTTTTAAATGACTTCTGGGGTTTTGAAATTTTCTTACTTCTTTCTTGGTAATGTCAGAGTGTATTTTTTGTGATTAAATTTTTGATCCATCTGGAATACATTTTGATATAAGAAGTAAACTTCCAATCCAGTCCTATTATTAAATGCCTGGTGAATTGTTCCAACAAAACTTATTAAATAAATTATTTTTTTCTACCCACTTACAATGTCCACATTTATGATATACTAAACTCTTAGGTCCAATTTTGGATTCTGTTCCATTAGTTTTCCTTTGATATGCCAGCATGAACACTATTACTATGGCTTTTAAACTATAATTATGTGGTAAACTTAGTTCCTTACTGTTTTACTTTGTTCAAGATTTTTCTGGCTACTTTTGCCTTATTATGTTTCTATATAGAATCTAAAATAATCTTTCCTAGTTGTCCTAAAATAAATAAGCTGGTAACTTTATTGTAATCACATTAAATTTATAGATTAACTTAAGGAGAGTAACATTTTTAGAATTGTACCTTCCTATCCAATAATAAGATTTGTCTCACCATTTATTCTAGTTTTCCTTTATCTCCCTTATCATAGTTTTAAATTTTTTTCCTGAACTAAGTTTATTTTATGGCATTTTATTTATTTTGTTGCTAAAACTAAATATTTTTCTTGTGAATATAGCAATTTCAAATAGAATATTTATTACATTATATTTTCTAACTTGTTTATATACAGGAAAGTTATTGTTGTATTAATTTTGAAAATTGTCATCTTTTGTTTCTAATATTTAAATTATCATATATGTTCCAATTATACAGTTATATTATCCTGTATTCATATAATTATATCTCCTCATTTCCAGTTTTTATATCTTATATTTCTTTTTTGTATTAAATGCATTGACTGGTACAGTAAAAAAAATATTTGATAATGTTGCCTTTATCTTATTCTTCATTTTAATGGGAATAGGTTTACTGTTTTCTCATTAAGCAAATAATATTGACTTCTGGTTTAAAATAAATTTTTTTGATTCTGGTAAGGAGTTACCCACTTATATTATTAAGAAAACTTTATCAGAAATAATTACTAAACTTTATTAAATGACTTTTTAACATCCATGGGGTGGAAGGATTATGATGTTCTTATTTGACCTATTATTTTGGTGAGTGATGTTAGCTTCTTTAATATTGAACCAGATGTATAGTATTGAAATAAAGTGCAGTTAGTCATTGTGAATAATTTTTAGTAGATTGCTGAATTCTGTCTTCTAATTTTATGCAGGATTTTTGCTTTCATATTCATAAATAAGATAGATTTTTAAAATTTTATAACTTGTGTATGTTTTTCAGGTTTTGGTATAAATTTTATTTAGAATTCTTTTCTTCAGAACAGTTTCAATAATGCTTTCATTAATGTTCTTTTTAATTTTGAGAGAAGTCTTCTAAAACTGTGCATACTTTGTGACTGTTTTAGAGAGACTGAGAATACTGTATTATAAAACTTCTCAGTTTCTTCTTTGTTAGGTCTGTTTAGGTTTCCTGTGTATTCCAGGGACAGTCTGGCTATTTATTTTCCTAGAAAAATAATGCTTTTCATTCAGGATTTTAAAATTCATTTCATAAATTTAAGATATTCTCTTATAATTGCTGTAATTTCCTTTAAAGATAGGAGATTTTTTCCCTTTGTCCTAATATTTTATGTTTTTGCATTATTTTTCTCCCGTGAGTATGTTGGTAGGCTTCATCTTGTTAATTTTTTCAGAGAATCAGTGCTTGAATTTATTTATTAGTCCTAGTCTTATGCTGTATTCTAATAATTTATTAGTTTATGATTTTTTTATAAATCTAATTTATTTAGATTTATTCTTTATTTACCTCTCACTATGTATTAACTTCTTACTTTCCAGTATTTTATTAAGAATATTTTCAAATATGCAGAGAAGTTGAAAGGATTATACAGGAACCCATAAGGCCATCAACTAGATTTTTACAATCAATAATTTACTATATTGCTTTATCACATATGTAGTCATCTATCCATCCCTCTCTTTATCCATCATTTTAGTTTTTTATTCATTTAAAAGCAAGTTGCAGATATCCTTACATTTCACCTCTAAATACTTTAGCATGTATATTATTACCGAGCGTTCCTTTTCAGTTTTGAGGTACATTTTATAGAACATCAAATGCACGAATCTAATTGTATCAATGAATTTTAACAAATTTAACAAATGCATACATTTGGGTAAGCTAAACCCCTAACACAGTACAGAACATTACTGTTACAATTACTTTTTAAAAAATTACTTAGGTGTAAATCTAACAAAACATGTACAAGATTGCATTCTTAAAACTACACAATGTTGATGAAATTAATAAAAGAAGATCCAAATAAATCAAGAAATATACCATGTTCATGGGTAGGACTAAGCTCAATCTAGTAAAGATGTCACCTCTCCCCAGTTGACATACAGGTTTAACAAATTCCTATCAAGATTTCTTTTTGTAGATATAGACAGAATTATTCTAAAATTTATATGGAAAGGCTAAAGAACTAGAATAACTTTTTAAAAAAGCAATTTGAAGAAGCATAAAATGGGATAAAGTAGCCTCTTACCTCAAGCTTTTATATAGCTACCACAGTCAAAGCTATGTCATATTAGATCAGTAGAAGAGAATAGAGAACTCAGAAGTAGAACCACACAAATATTCCCAAACGGTTTTTGACGAAAGTGAAAAGCAATTTAATGGAGGAAAGTTTGCATTTTCAACAAATATTGCTGGAGAAATTGGATATCCATGGGAAGAAAAGAAAGATACAAGGGAAAACTTCAATCTAAGTCTAACATCTTATACAAAAATTTATTCAAAATGAATTATAGATTTAAATGTAACACATGCCAGTATAAAACTTTTTTAAAATAGAAGAAAATTTTTATGATCTAGAGCTAGACAAAGAGTCTTAGAATTGACATTAAAAACATGATTAATAAAAAATTGATAAATTAGACTTCAAATTTAAAGCTCTTGTTTTGCAAAAGACCCTGTTAAGCAGATGAAAATACAATGAAGAGGAGGAAAAACAAGGAGCAACATGCTTATGCTAGCTGATTCTCTCTTTTTATTTAAAAAAAAAAAAAAAAAAAAGCTTTCCCAGAAATTCCACCAGGATTCATCTTTTTACATCTCATTGACTAGAATTATATTACATGGCTACTCCTGGCCACAGGCAAGCCTGAAAACTTAAAGTTTTTGTTTTGAGACAGAGTCTCACTCTGTCATCAGGCTGGAGTGCAGTGGCCCTATCTTGGCTCACTGCAACCTCTGCCTCCTGGGTTCAGTTGATTCTCCTGTCCCAGCCTCCTGAGTAACTGGGACTACAGGCACGTACCACCATACCCAGCTAATTTTTGTATTTTAAGTAGAGACAGGGTTTCACCATGTTGGCCAGGATGTTCTGGATCTCTTGACCTTGTGATCCACCCACCTCAGCCACCTAAAGTTGATGGCATTACAGGTGTGAGCAACTGCAACTTAAGGTTTTTTAATGGAGGTACACTGCTGCCCTGATAAAGTCAGGTTTTGGTAAGTAAGGAAGAAAGTTAGAATGAAAATTTGGAAGGACAACTAGCAGTGTACAGAAAAACTAGCAGTAGAAATTTGGAGGACAACTGGCTGAGTGCAGGGCCTTATATTCCTAAATATTCTTTTGTTCACATAACAGTGAACTAACTTGAACTACTTAAATCTGCATATGGAAATGGCTTATTCTGGCAGTTACTTAACAAAGTCACTTAACTCTGTCTTGTGGAAAATACTCATCTTTTATATCTGCCACATAAGACAAAATAAAGTGACCCCTCAGCACAACTTTGGAAGTCCTGTGAAATCTTTTGGAGGAATACTTAGACTTGGATACCATTAAAAAGAAGTTATGTAAAATTTTGTGGCATATGATTTAAGTGCAGAACAAACTGTCTGCTGTAATTGCAAACACTTTTAAAGGCTTCAATATTACCAACTTGTGATGATGTATGTAATTGTCCTGAGAATCCTGTGCTAGAAATCTAAGAGGAAGTAATTATCAAAGTAGATGAGAACCAGATACAGATTAAAAAGGAATTTCAATGAATTAAATAACTTATGATGAAATGGACACATGATTGGCCAAGACACGAAGTACTGAAACTGACTCCAGAGGAAATAGAACATCTAAATAAGACATATAACAAGTAAAGGGATTTAATTAATGATAGAAAATCTACTACAGAGTAGCTTAAACCAAAATAGCTTAACTGCTGAATTCTATGAAACATTTAACATTTAGAACATTCTACCAAAGAATTTCTAATTCTTCAAAAACTCTTCCAATATTAGAAGGGGAAGGAATGCTTCCCCATTCATCCTGTGAGGCCAGTATTACTCTGTTAACAAAACCACACAAAGACATCACAAGAAAACTGCAGACCAATATATATTACGAATATAGATGTAAAATTCATCAGCAAAAATACTGGCAAACTAAATCCAGCAACAAATAAAAAGAATATATGTCATAAAGAAGTGGAATCTATCTAGACATGTTTGTTCCCTGTGCCCAAAAATCAATGTGATAGAGCATGTCAGTAGAATTAAAAAAAAAAAAAGATTTTTCAATAAACATAGAAAAGGGATTTTTAAAAAAATCCTATGCCTTTTCATGACAAAAACACTCACCAAATTAGGAAGAGAAAGGAATGTCCTCAATAAAAGGCATCTATGAAAATCCCACAGCTAGTATTTACTTAATGTTGAAAATACTAGATGCTTTTCCCATAAGGTCAAGAACAAGACAAAGATATCCACTTTTCCACTTCTATACAACATTGTAATGATGGTTCTAGCCAGAGTAATTAGACAAGAAAAAGAAGTTTTGAAAATCCAGATTGGAAAGAAGGACATAAAACTATGTTTGCCAATGAAATAATTTTGGACATAGAAAATCCTAAGGAATCCACTGAAAAAAAAACTTTTAGAACTAATATATGAGTTCAGCAAGGTTGCAGAATACAAGATTAATATCTAAAAATCAATTGTATTTCTATGCACTTATAATAAACAATCCTAAATGAACTTATGAAAAGTATTCTGTTTGCAAAAGAATAAAATATGAAGGTAAAGAGTGAAAAACATACCTGAAACTACAAAACATTACTGAAAGAAAGTAAAGATCTAAGTAAATAGACATCTCATGTTTATAGATCTAAAGACTTACTGTTATTATGATGACAGTCCTCCCCAAATGAATATACAAATTCAATGCAATTTCCATTAGAATACCAGTGGGTGGCTTTGTAGAAATTGACAGGCTGATCTTAAAATTGTTATAGAAACTCAAGGGACCCAGAATGGTCAAAAAAAAAAAAAAAAAAGAAAGAAAGAAAGAAAAGAAAACAAAACTTAAAACAGAGCAACTTTGAGAACTCACACTTTCTGATTTCAAAACTTACTACAGTAATTTAGACAGTGTGGCACTATCATGAGGTTAGACAGGTAGACCAGTGAATAAAACTGGAAGTCCAGATATAAACCCATGTGTGTTTGGTCAACTTATTTTTAACAAGGATGGCAAGACTTTTCAATAGGAAGAGCACTGTCTTTTCAACAAATGGTGCCAAGACAACTGGATAGATAACCACATTCAAAATAAAGAATTTTGTCCCTTATCTCACACCATATACAAAAATTGATTCAAAATGGATCAAGATCTAACTAACAGCCCAAACTATAAAACACTTACAAGGAAACAGAGGCAAAGCTTCATGACTTTGGATTTGGCAGTGGATTCTTAGGTATACTTCCAAAAGCACAAGCAACAACTAGAACAAAAATAGATGAATTGAACTTTATCAAAATTGAAACTTCTGTGTTTCAACAGAAACTATCAAGAAAATGAAAATAAAACCCATAGAATGAGAGAAATACTTGAAAATTATTTACCTGACAAAGTGCTTCTATCTAGACTATATAAATAACTCTTACAACTCAATAATAAAAAGACAACTAGATTTTAAAGTGTGCAAAGGATCTAAAAAAACATTTCTCCAAAGTAGATGAACAAATGGCCAGTAAACACATGAAAATATGTTGAGTATCTTCAGTCATAGGGAAATGCAAATTAGTACCACAATAAGATACCTCTACACCCACTAGGATGACTAGAATCAAAAAGTCCAATAACAAGGGCT